CACCAACCCCCGGATCATGGCACAATACTCGCGATAAACCCACTTCCCATTCTTCGCGATCGCTGTGCGCGTCGTCTTTCCGCGAAACAGCCCCGGATAGCCATGTGTGACATACAGCTCCCACAGCCAGAACAGATCCGCACAAAACAACCGCATCATCCGTAGGAACCAGCGGTCCGCAATCTCCTCCAGCAGAGTCTTGATCGCGCTGCGATGCCAAGCATCCATGTCCTTTCTCGTGTTCAAGATCACCAACGCCTCCGGATACGCCTCCACCAACTCCGCCGGGAAGAACGACGCCGCCGTGTCCACCACCGCATCGCAGTGCCCCAGCAAGGCGTCGAACTCCCCGCGCGACACGCGGAACTCTCCGTCCTCCTTCCCGTTCCATTTCGCCCGCGCCAGCTTCGCCCATGCCTCGATGTACCCCGCGTTCTCTTCGAAGGAGATGTCCCACCCGTGGTACGGCGTTAGACCAAGCTTCCGCAGCGCAACGGCCAGGCTCTCCGTGGCGGACCGCGGAAGGCCCACGCAGATCACCTGCATAGGTTTGGTGCGGGTGCGGGCCGGTGGCTTGGGAAGGTTGTAGAGGGTTTCCTTGACGATTTCCATTTTGACTGGTTTGGCTGAAGAAAATGTGCCACAGGGTTGGATGAACTACTCTTGGTTGGTTAGATAGGGGTATTTATACGGCTTTGTCGGAGAATATGGTACGGTTGGGCGCAAGCGCCGCGGGGGAGGGGGTGTTGGTGAGTGTATCTGCACGAGGAGTCAGCATTGATGACGATGTAACTGTAAATGGTTGGGCTGAGATGAGGCTGGAATCTAATGCCTCGTAATGGCTTGCAGTAGCCTTGTGTTACCTGTCTGCCCTGGCTGATGGCGGTTGGAAATTATGGCCGATTGGTGCTCGTATAAGCTGACTGTTCTGGTTCTTTGGCAGCTTGCTTGTTTCCTTCTACATGGGATGGTTATGGGTTAATTCTCTATCAATATTCACTATTCATCAAATAAGCATTTTCTATCTCCATTCACTGGCTCAAGCAAGACAAACAACGGCTCATTCACTTTTTACGTATATATACCAGCTCATCCCCTCTCCTTCCAACTCTTCCAACTTTCCATCCCTGGGAGAATGAAGAGCAACCTGGGTCAAACCTCTTACCACTGAATCATACTGAAGTTGTCTCAGTCACTCCATGTTCGCATAAGAAGGTAAATTACATGACTGTTACGGTTGAAAATGACCCGGGTCAATGCCTGTTGATTGGGAGGCCTTATTCCTTAGTCGGAAGTGAGTTGTTCATAGTCAGCTATTTTATGACTCTACTGACTTCATGCTCCAGTAGCTCTGACGCAGCGACTGAACATGCAGCCCCGGAACTGCGTCGAATATCGTGGTCGGGCGGCCATCTGTGGTGAGAAAATACCTCTAGAAGACGACAGTTCAACGCCCTCTTTCCTTCGCAAATGTGCTGAGATGCGGTTAATCTTGGCTCAGGGAAACTTTCGTGGCCCTCCTTCGCTCTAATCTTCCCGATTCTTTGCACAGAAATACCAGGTTCAAAAATTGGCTTCATTGGACCACTTAACAAGCACCTATGAAAAAGCAGTGGTGCTGGCAAGATTATCCAAACAAAATCCACCTCAGCATCTATCTAAGCACACCCCTCGTAAGATCTTGTGATAATCTTGCATTAAGAAAGCTCTAAAAGAAGCTAGCTTATGCACCTATCAAAATGATTCTGACTGGGCTGAATTTTTAGATCGGTACCAATGGCACATCTCTGACATGCCCAAGCAGAATCACCATTCGAAGAATGAAACTCATAATCGTCCGAGGATTATATTGTAGTTGGTTATTGATACCGCTCGAGTGTCCAGCCATTGTATGAACAGATCCACAAATTTGTCCCGGACGTCGGGGTCAGATGAAGGACAATGGAAGGAAAGAGCACCTTCGCTCTGAGTGATCGAGGTGAGGGTAATATCGGAATGGACTTTCTGAAGACGTTCCGTGATGTCGGATACGACCGAGTCTTTGATAGGGGTGGGCACAACAAGTTTGATATGAATCTCGTCTTTGTCTTCTGAATCCATGCTTTATCGTTAACGGAGCGCGAGGGCTTGCTTTTATATTGTGGTTTCCTCTTAATCACTGATTTTCAGATAAGTTCAGACATCCATACTTATGAGAGTTCAGTACCTCCCTCTTCTTCAGGAGGGCACCACGATAAATGCCTTGGTGTGTGACAGAATATTCTTTGGAGGCAAAAGCATATAGACGTCATAAAGGGTCGATCAGGTTTTGGATGCCCTTGGCAACGCTTGGAACTAGCACAACTGTCTAGGGAATACATGTTGGCATGTCGTGTAAGTAGAAGTCGAACGAAGTCTGATATCATCTCTCCCATCTTAAGTTAGCCACTAGACACTAATTATACTAATCCTGCTTATTCCGCTTATTGTGCTTATCCTGCTCTTTCTATACAGATGGGCATCGAGGTCACAACTTAATGCTACGTAGTATCACTCATTACTCATATTCTATTGGACCTCTCTAAACTAGGCGCAAACATTCATATTATATTTGTTGCTTTCTGCTTTTGGCTGATCCTTATTCTATTATCTGGCGCGGCGAAAAAGGGTCTCAATCAAGTGCGTTCATATTTAATTCTATAAAAGAATCGCTTCTACCCTCTGGACGTAACATGGTGGACATCTTAACATACACAAATTATTTTCCAAACCCCCATCATATCTACTACTAGCCCACCTGCCACTTTGTTAAGGATGGCGGCTAATAATATGGCACCGCGTGAAATAAAGGGTACTCCAGGCAGTCATAATCTCTCTGACATCGTGGAAGATATCCTCAAGTACAACTCGGATTTACCATACGAGGTTATCTACATCCCAGTTCACCCGACAAAGGTACCTGCCTCCGCCTGGCAGCGGATGGCAGATGATGTCTCTTTCATGATATTGCAGGACAGTCAGGCATTGTGCACTGCATTCATCAGACATCACTCACAAGCAAGAAAGCTGCTGTATCGACACAGGATCCCAGCTATGTGCAGTTTCCCAAGACCTTTACAACTAGAATATGAGGACCTGTGAAATCAACACTGAGATCCTTACGGTAACCGGACGCGGATTTCTCGAATATACCGACATCGAGCCCGCTGTTGGCAGTCAGGTCGCGCTCAGTCTTGATAACGAGATCCCCCGGGCATATCGATTTGGGTTCTTGAGTGATCAAGAACATGACGGGCTCTTTTTGAGTTTTTATCCAAACCAAGGCACGTTTGTAGGACTAAGATGAGCCATATTAGTATGAAAAATTCAGAGAAAATAATCAGCCAAGTCATTCAGTTTTCCTTCGAGAGGCGTGTCTTCCTCATCTCAACATCGCTTTGTGCTAGCCATCTACTCGCTTCTACTAGTTGTATGACGTTCACATACTGCTTGAAGAGCATGAATAACAATGAGATGGTAAGTAACAACCATGGCAAGGAACTGCTGATTTTATTGGCACTAAACGAGATGTCAGCACGAAATGTCCTAACGGAGTCAGAGCTATCCTTACCGAGCCATTTCCATAGCCCCAGCACTCCAAGGCGATCCCCAGATCTGGGAGGCTGTTGCAAAGCTTGCTTCGCTGTTCTCCAGTGAAGGCATGAGTAGCGGCGAAGAAAATGAAAGCAAATATAGCGCAATGAAAAATGCCTCATTCATCGTGCATACAGTAAACAGTACTTTCTGTGCATATATCAGGTAATGTTATTTGCATTCAAGAAGGGTGATGCACGAACATGATTAGAGTAATATGCTCTCATGACCCAGGGCCGACTCTCGTCAATATCTTTATGACTCTGCCGCTGTCCACCCATTGCTAGGGTAGCATACATATGGATGTAGTGGCTTGAATAGTCCAAGCTAATCAAGGCTTGGAAGACTATGCTCCATCTGGGAAACGCAGTTGCAAGAAATACTAACAGACAAGCTGTTGTGCATCGATCGGTAATCATGTCCAGGACAGCGCCAAACTGTGTTGACTGTCCAAGGCGCCGAGCAGCCGCCCCATCCAAGGCATCTAGGAGATACGAAACGCTATATAGGAGTGAACAGGTTCGTGGATGATAAGGCGTATAATAAAGTGAAGCAATAGCGAAAACCACTCGTGCATAACCTGGCAATGAGTAATCAGTACTAGATAACTCTTTAGTCTTCATGGCTCAAAAGGTTCTTTCTCATACCAATCAAGTTTGGAATAAAAAGGAAAATATTCTCTTCCCTTTCATTTACTGATTTTTGATTTTCGGAATGGGTGGACATAGTGTTTAGGCGATTGCGGCGCTGATTTCTGGGTAAAATTATTATGAACAAAAGATTGTACTCTGTGCAGAAGTAATCATTTACCAACTTATAAGGTACAGGCACGGGGAAGCTGCCTCTCGCTGAATTCAGAGGAGACCTCATACTGGTCCGCTCGGATGGAACTTCAAAAGCATCCGTTACAACCAGTGCCCGCTCCTCGAGCCTCCTGGAAGCCCCGAGTCTGGGCTCCTCGGCAGTTCCTCGTCCGAACACACTGCACGGTTGGAAGTGGTCCCAACAGGCATCAGGATTATCATTGATGAGCGAAGAAAGTGCCAGATCAACATCTTTTATATTTTCATCCTCGAAAAGCCTTCATACGTGCTTTACTTGGGGATACTTCCATTATTTTATTCTCTACACCGTTCTCCTGAACCAGGTTCAGACACTTTGCGGTGGCAGCTGGCGCCTTAAAGCGTTTCTATATAGGCTGGGACAACTATAGGAAGGTAGCACGAAATCTGCTGCAGCTTTGCTCACTCTGCCACAAGTAGTGGTTCACTGCTTCTTCCTACCAGAGACCTGGTCCTGCTGGCTAATCTGGCATAGCTGTAAGAATTACTGTTTCCACTACATATGTACACTCTTGATTCCTTTCATTTCTTAATATGACCATGGCTCTATCGCCGAGCATGGAAATTCGAGATATTATAACAAATCTCATGAGGACGCTCATATAATCTTTCCCACTCACCATACTCGCCCATCTTTATAAAACCTTCCAGCCCCGCGTCACATAAAGCAACCTTCATCCACCCAACATCCCTTAGAGTACACCCTTCGATAGGATCATAACCATCATCAAGTAGATCCTCTGGCTTCTCTACGTCTTCAAGATCTTCCTGGCTGAAATCTTCAATAGACTCAGGTTTCCACCACCCATACAGCATATTCACGAATGCATCTTTATTGATGCAGTCGTCAATAGGTGCCCGAAGAACACTTTGCAAGGACTCTTCATCAACAAAAAGACAGAACTGATAACGCGCCGCTTCAACGTTAGAGTACCGAATCATATCAGGCGAGCCGCCTGATTCTTCCTGAATAGCAGTCGTTGCCCATCTCTGGAAATGCTCACGGATTGTCGCCGTGCTCGCACCTTCAAAAAGGGCTCGGTCCTCGACGACAGTAGTCTGAAAACTATCAAGCATGTCTAGACCATTATAGTTCTTGAGCATGTCAGAGATATGCCATCGGTACCGATCTAAAAATTCGGCCCAGTTGGAATCATTTTGATAGGTGCATCGATAAATAGGGAAGCCCCATGTGCGCAAGCCAGCTTCTTTTAGAGCTTTCTCAACGCGATCAGCAAGATTATCACGAGATTCATTACCAGGGGTGCGCTTTGACGGATGCCGAGGTGGATCGCGTTTGGATAATCTTGCCAGCGCTGCTAATGCTTTTTCATGGGTTGAAGCTGATTTTTGAACCTGATATTTCTGTGCAAAGAGTCGGGAAGGTCGGAGCGAGGAGCGTATGGTGTTTCTTGCAAGAGGAATTGCACTCTGCAAAGTGGAGAAATTTGAGGTCCGGGTCTGTGTTCTGAGGAGATTTGTAGTCGTGGACAACATAATTTGTGGGAGATGGTAGGCGAAAGGGAAAAGTGTCGGACGTGTTTGTTTTATATGACAAGTATCAGACTTCCCTAGCGATACTGCGCTTTCTTAGTAAGAGTAAGCCAGGCACCCTTAGTTACTATTAAGAAACCCAGAATATGATAAAATTAGTTAATTTCAATACATACATACGAAAATGGCCATTTCCAATCAAATCAATGCCAAGCCATCCTGCAACCCAAATTTGACACGATGCAGTAGTTCCACTACAGGCACAGTGTTCTGCTAGGCGTCCGATGTTACGTGAGTCCGCGAAAGGTTGGGTTCGCGCAGGCGCAGCCCTGGGCAGGCATTCTGGAGTATGCCCTTCCTAAGGTCTATAACAGCCCAGGATATGCAGTCAGCATGGATGGGTCAAGAAGCATATCTATAATTTCTCTGCAGACATTTTTGTTAAATGACAGGTGGGCTGATTTCCCGGTTTCATGCTTGGTGTGAGCGACCCCATTTAGGGCATATCTGCCCATAGCTAACACCTACAATCAATATCAGTTTCTGCAATCTTGATTTGGACCAGTCCATTAGCAGCAAACAGAGTATCTGTGCTATGTTTCCTACAGCCGGCCCCATGGCACCCCCATTTCGAGTATGTAGGATGCAAGGCTGAGAGCGGGGAAGATAGGAAAACACCCCCATGATCTCAGACACACAAAATGCAAGTGGTGCCACGTATTGAAAGCATGAGCGGCTATAATAATGGTGTGTGAAGAGATAAGTACGTGGCTCAGAGGCTTCTTAGCAACAACCCAAGTGAGGAGCCTAGGTTCGTTGCGTAATTTATGATTCGGCATGGTGCTACTGTGAAGATAGATTGTGTTTGCACGAAGAATTACAATAAGAGGTTGAAGGAGAAGTATATAAGCAAGAGGTCCCTCCTCTAACTTCCTGAACCCTTCAGTACTCACTTCCTCTCCTATCTCCAACCTAAAGTATACAGGCATCAATTTGCGAGCCTATCGAACGGCTCATCAAACGTGCAGCTTCCTGATTTCCAGCTGCCTCCTACTGCCACACGCAATAGCTTCACCTACTCAAGAACAAATATACACAACTACTTTTACACATACAAAATGCAAGTAAGTACCATATTCAAGGTCCTTTGATTGTGTTGAGTTCTATGTATCTATAAGTACTTAATAAGACCTTGCTAGGAGCACGGCGGCGGATCATGTTATGTCGGCATGCAAGTCAATTACTGCGGCACTGTCTGGACAATTGCGGCAATGGCAGGTGGAGCTATGCTGAATGCAGGGTATACCTTTGTGATCTGCAACATGTATGGGGAGACCGAGAGAGTATCTGGTGCAAGTTTAAGCCCTGCTTGACGATAGTGTCTGGGTTTCCTTGAACCCGTAATTGGGAACTAGGATGAAGGTGTTGATCGGAATTAGGATTGTCGTCACATCCACAATATCATAACTCTCGATTTGTACAAGCCTGATAGCGTCGTTTGTGGTTGAACTCCAACGGCAGAGGATCGCAGGATTCGATATCAACAGAGACGCCAGTCGAGCAACGATCAGGTACATAGAGTGGTAGGCCATATTCTTCCCAATGCAGCCACGAGTCCCCGTGCTGAAGGGATAGTACGCTGAGCAGCCGTTGCAGCCAATCCCACTGTCACAGTCCCTGCCCAGTCTCGAACGAGGAGCCGACGGTAAGATTGTGTCTGATCGTTCAGCGCTCTCTGCAGTTGAACTCTCTGGCGAATTTTACGTCGGAAAGATATTGTCCTTCGTTGATCGAATCGATCGATTTTCACCTACTCGCATCACTCGTGGCTTACCAACCAAGTAGGCAAGACAAGCAGGTTTATCTGAACCTCAACCTGCCAGCCGAACGCATCAACTTCAATGAGCAGGCTCCGAAGCTCCATGTCCGGGGATCGGCCTGGCACAGGGACCACATAAGGGCGCTCAGGGTCATGTCACATAATGACTGTCCATTATCAAAAATACGCAAGCCCGGTACCTCCCGCAGATGAACGACCTAGGTGTGCCTCTGTTCAATACAACATTTCTGGCATTCTACGTTTCTAATACTGAAGGCAGCATTCCGCTAACTCAGAGAATGAGCAAACTGCGCGCGGCAATATGTGAGGATAGGGGGAGATTTTTTGGAATTTGATTCTACCCCGCCAACAGATATGATGGATCAGATTCAGAAGGACCAAGGGCAGTGAAGGGACTCATGGGTGCTCCTCGCACCGAGAGCCGAGCAGTGAAGGATAGACGTCGCACAACCGGTGGTTGGTTGGGCTGAGTCTGATACGCAACAAGGCGATCAGAATGGCCAAAGACCCAGTGAATTAAGCGCGCTCAGACCCTGGGGAGCGGGTGCAGCTCTCCAAGTGAAGTTGAAATCTGCCTCGACAAGCATGCCACCATGCAGATACGGTCTGAGCAAGTTGCCATTGCCAGATGAGAACTCCCTTGTATGGTTTGCTCCTTCCGTAGTGGGAGCCTAGCACATCAAGGTCATAAGAAACTCTTTTCTGTGAGTCTAACTCTATGTCTATCTTACTCTCCTTCTACAATCAACTCTAATCTACTTTAGCAATTGTGTTTCGCTTTTCTTCCTTCTCCCAAGTACCCGTTTCCAAGTTCCTTTGATAGCTCGAGTGACAATTCACCTTTATGATGTCTGCCTTCAAAAGTCTTAGCCATTTATTCACAACTGCAAGCAAAAATGTGAGTGAATAGCGTTGAGCTGGCCGCAATAATTATTCTTCCAATTGGGTGAATGCATGTCCAACATTGCCAAGAACGAGCAGATTGAGAGGCTGTCTGAAAGAATACGCGAGCGAGAAGAAATGGGCGGCGGATCTGCGACAAAGCTTCAAGACCAGGTAAATGACTTCCAGTCAATAGTCTCCGTCTACCGTCGCGAACGCCTAGGATGACGGCCACCTCCAGGAACGCTATACTGGGCAAGAGAATTATTGACTGGGCGTTTGTCTCAATGAACGATGCCGCCATCGAGAAGTTTTCCTACCCAATCGCATGTTCCCTGTTCAGGACGAGCGGCAACCAGGCCGATACAAAGCTGGAGAAAGCCTTGCGCCGTCTGCGGGCGAGCCTCTAACAGCCTTTGGCCCGCTCGAGGTATAGGCCCCCTCCACTAGATGAGCCCGTCCCTACGCCTGCGCCTTTGATTGTATTGTTTGTGATTGTGTACTGGTCTGTACTGTGTATCAAGAGACGGTAAATTCCATCGCCACGGTTGATGTTGGTAATAGATACTAACACTTTCTGTCATAGCTACTCAACATTTCATGTACTCCTTTCTCTCACGACGGAACCCAGGACCAGTATACGGTTTGGTCCCTGTCGTTCAACGACCCCAGACGGCGCCCAAGGACATCCCAAAGGACGGATAACTAGAGGCTTGTTCCGAGTTGGACCATCCTTGAAGGCACTGCTCAAGTTTGCTGCATCCTCCTCGTCATAGACAGGACTCATCCAACTCGCGATTGTCATCCAGACTGAGGTTGACCATAAACTTTGGATGTTTGGACCCGGAGTCTACTCCGGGCCCCAACAATGGAACACATCGGAACTGACGATTGAGCAGCTTGCCGAAATGCAGGCCACGCAGACCATCGACGACGAGAACGCGTCTGAGCAAGATGACTTCGGCTCCGGCCGAAAGGCCCGAAGGCCGAGGAGGAGGATAGGGTGTTCCACCCCCAACTCCCTGGAGCAGGCGTCCGGAAGCTCACACAGCTCCGGATCATCACCAGCTTCCCAGGACTTCTGGATCTCGATCACAATAACTATGTGACGCCCATCAATAGTGGGCTATCAATATGCCTTTGGACATTGGATCTTTGATGGCCTCCGGACCTTCGCTGGTCATTTTTCAAACTCGGGCAACTGGGTATTCTCAAGGCAGAGGATATCCCGATAGTGGCCACCAAATTCTCCATGCAGGGCAAGGAGTCGAAGTTTGTCATCCATGATTGGGTCATCTCAGCGCCCACAAGATACAAGATGTCAGATCTTGGGTTCATAGTGGATGACCACCGCGGCAAAGTGGACTCGGGCCACGGAAGCCATGCTGAACAGTTGCGTTTGTGGCTGAACGGCCGTGTTGATTTTCGATGGGCGTACACCTTGAGCCGGAGTGATATTATCGCGCTTTTAGCGGATATTATCAGCCGCCCTGGTACTTACGGAGTGCCCGCTGAGAATGTTGCAAACCTGGTGTTGATACACCAGGATATCACTCACCTTCGGTAAGCTACTACTCTCTATCAAGCAATCATATTCAAATATAGCTAACTTGACAGAATTTCAAGTCGAATTGATACTCCTACCCCTGATGACAACAATAAAGTCGAGGAGGTTCCCCCAGATGAAGTCGATGAAGAAGTTGAAGAGGTCACCTCGTACGAAGACAAAGTCAACGAAAGTCCACGCTCAGTCACTCCTCAGAACACCATGGCACTCATCACTGCATCCCGTATGCCGTACGATCCTACACACTTGCATGAGATTGGTCCCTTGCGCAGAAAGCTTCCTGAACGTGGACAAGAATACAAAATTGGCAGTGACTGGTATGAGACTGAGAGACTCACAGCAAGAGGCACTAAAAAAAGTCCACAATTGTCCAAAGGCTTGGCTTCATAACGAGATCGCCCGGGCATATCGCTCTGAGTTCTTGAGTGATCAAGAACATGACGGCCTCCTTTTGAGTTCGAACACGAGTATATTACGTCCTCTTTAACTTCTTGCATGTCTAACCAAGTGTAGGATATGATTCATTTTCACCCCCGTACACAATCTCCTTCAAAGAGCCTGAATTTTATATCGAGTCACATGGATGCACGTTGCCCACGATTGTATTTGAAGTTGGGTATCCTGAACCATACCCTCGTCTCATCAGAGACAGAGATCTCTGGCTGGTGGGCGGCGCCCCCCACCTCAATGTGGTCTTTTTTGTCAAATGGACCTCGCTCGTCATATCATGTGGCAACTGCCCTCAAAAATGATCAATCACAACGCGGTTTCAGAGAGTCAGTATTACTACTTATTAACTAATTAAATAGTGATTAGGATCAGAGAAAGCTGACAATTTACTAAAGTAGTGGTACCAGTGGTATCTTCGTGAGGTTGAGAGTGGAAAACTCGAGCTGCCTGACTATGAAAAGTGAGTTTTTATATTACTCTGATAAGCACTTTCTAACTGATTTCTAACTGGTTCCAAACTGCTTGCAGAATGAAGATGATGAGCTGAAGATCTACTATGGTGAACTCTTTTGTTGGATCCTAGACTGCACTATCTTGTTGATCGAAGGGGATTACACCGAAAGCTACCCGTTCAACCCCCTCTTGAGGTAAGTCTTATGAGAGTACCTTTTCCTTCCATGTCCCTTTCTGGACCTTCCAGTACCAAATGCTAATTTATTAGGGGCTTATGGTTGGGATCCTTACTCTTATCGACCAACCAAAGCGCCGCATCCACGAAGCCAATACCATTGCTATGTTCGCTGCCTTCGGTCTACCTCATAATGCGAACATGACTCATCTTGCCGCTTTGGATCTCATCTCTCTGGAGGCCTTCCATGATGGCCCTGTTGTTCGTAAGGAAGCACTCCCAGATCGCCGGTTTCTTTGCGGACCTTCAGCGCGTTTGGGACGCTTCCTTGACCCTGCTTGAGGCTGAAGGCTCTGTGGCCCCAGCCAATTAAGGGAACTGGAGCTGTTGCTATCGACGCTGGCCTTCGGGCTGGTGGTAAGGCGAGCGATGAAGATTTGTCCAAAGAGAGTGAGGATGGAGATGAGGCCGCAGAAAATGGGGATGCCAGTGAATCAATCACTGGAGGGGGCATACCTTGACTCCTTTGCAATCGATGTCCGCGAGTTAACTCTTGAATGGAAAAATTCAAGAAATAGGGTTGTTGATCCCTCCCTGGTTGAGAAATTGAAAACATCATTCAAACTCGGCGTACGGAGATTTGCTATTGAAGACCGACTCTGCACCTGTCCAAACTTACACAGGATTTCATTATTACAGTATAAGGGTGTTCATCTAGCTACATACTAAGATTATCATAGTGGAGCAACCTAGAGAAGGGTAGCAGACCATTGCAAAGAGGCTGGTACATTTACATGGATGACAAGTGAATAGCATCTGGAGATATGCAGCCTCCGCCGGGCGCCGCCTTGACAGGCTCGGTCTGCGAGTTGTCCTTGGGAGGACAGGGACGTTTACCGACGAGGGTCCCGCACTTGAGCATCCCCCTGTCGAGACGATCGAAGATAAACAAGACGGGTTAGGGTTTAGGGATTTAGGTGTATGGGAAAAAAGTTTGGTATTCGAGGCCGTGTCCTACGTGTTGTGAAGCAGACCGTCCACGATGTGCTCAACCAAGAGCCTTCAAACTCTCCAGTTAAATATATAAGTGGGAGATATCTGAGAGCGCATCCGATTTTAACACAGTGACATTATACTTGGCTCCAAGAAGACTGCAAGCCGCCTCAGGAACCCATGTGTCAGCTGCAGGGAGCTCATAAGTCTTTACGGGGGAAGTGTGGACAATCTTTCCAAGTCTGCAGGTCAGCTGGGGCGCCAGCATAGTCAAAATAAACCGGATATGCCTTGAAATGCATTATTGATTGGCTAAAGTAGAAAAATACAAGTATATCTGGTGTTCCCTTGTCTCCGACACAAATCGATTTGCTCTTGTATGTAGGAAGCCAATATGACCTCAAGACCAACAAATATTGCCAAATCTGATGCGTTTAATTCTCATTATGACGTTCAATAAGCTTAATCATCTTAGGTCATGGCAGGATTATGTATACCGATCGATCAGATGTCCAAAACAGTCGATCATCTCGATCTCCGGGGAATCCATGACGTCAATCAAGAAGAGCTCTATGAGTACCTCTTCTCTACTAAGGTAGAGATATATATGACAAACCTGGTCAATTCAAAAATTATTCTCACTATCAGCAATTAAGACAAAATATATGTAGCAAAAATGGTAAAAGACAAAAACACCGTCATCGAGTACGTCCCGATCCTCTCCGACAATCCCATCTAATCTAACCACTGCTCCAAGGGAATTCAACGACCTGGTCAACATGACCCCCAATGAACTCCGCGCCTGGCTCAAGGAAGAACAATCCCAGTCCTCAGGCTGGAGGGGCGCGTCTGCGTCAGCGTCCGGCGAGACGGTCGGTCACGAGAGGTATTCGTCATCCTCATGCCTACCCGTCTGGATTGGACAGTGCTGAACAAACTGACGTTGACGACCGAACAGCGGCCGCAGAATCGTGGATATCCTCGAACATAACCCCTCCAGAGACCCGTCTGGGTACTCGGACGAGGATCTAGAACATATGCGCAGGGTGGTCTCGTACTGTAAGCGGCATCTGGCGCAGGAGGAGCAAGCGAAGAGGGATACCGGGAGTAAAAGTTACAGGTCGTTGAAGAATTGGGGGCATGATGCGCTGAAGGAGTGAGTCATCTTCGGATAGGGTGTACGGTTGTTAGGTTGCTTTTGTTGAATGTGGTGGTTGTGTGGGATTCAGGCCTTGCACAGGACTGTACCATTTCTTGTATGACCTTTTTGGCTTTTCTTGCTGTCTTATCTTAATTGTGATCTGGTAATAGCAAGCCTTGGCATGGATAATCCATGTCAGCTAGTTATTCAAGCCCGCCATGGGTCGAAGACACCGTGGTAGCGCCTAGATCCCCTTATCACTGGATAGGCGTGCGCTACTTCGAGTGATACTCAGTTTATACGTGGAGCTTGCAGACCCTGGCATTAGCGTAGGGCGTAGACTTGAAACCGCTAGCTGGAAGAATTGTTTTACTCAGACAAAGCTTGCAAAATAGAGGAATGGCCACTTGCAAGCATTAACGACACTGTGTCCGAAACCGTAACAAAAGAGTTAATATACAACAGGATAACGTCCATTCTAGCTCTCTTACCAGACATGGACTAGACTCTCCAGTGGCGCAGAAAGACCAATCTGTCCGACAACTAGCTCGAATTATTCATTGCTTTATCAGCTCGAGACAATTTCAGAATGAGACATGCAGGGACATTTCCGCTTCATCAAGCCCAGGCTAGAAGCTACATCGGCAGTTCCATCTGCCGATAGGAATACACCTCAAACCTTAAACCCGCCCCAAGGTCGTTTCTCAGGACATCGGAAATGCAGCTCGGTTGATGAACCAAGTGACGTGAATGACTAGCCAGTAGCTTATCGACCAGAATCCATCACATACAACGGATAGCTAAACTCATTTTGGGGGGAACCGGCCGTGCTTGCGTCGGGGAGGTTGGGCGGTTAGGGCTCTAGGCCGTTGTTGCCGGGTTCAAGCTCGGTTGTCATCTCGTCAGGGTGACCAACAGCGGGCATAATCCGCGGTCGTTTGGGGTAGAAGATGTCATGGCCAATGCCAGGCGCTGGAGATAAGAGATGGTTGGCTGGGGCGGTGGTCCCTCGTCCTGAATGGATGGCCTGGGGAAGTGGAGTGCCAGATGGGGAAATCCGGGGTTGCTGTGGAGCTAGCTCCCCTGCGTTTGTCTCTGGGCATCTTAATTCCCCGCTTTTAGCCTGTTGATTCTGGTCCGTGGATTTCGACAGTCGCAAACATAAAACCCAATGGAAGGCCACGTCGATGTATAGGCAGACCTCGGTCGCGTAAAGTATAAACATCGCGTTCGGTAACCGTGCACTACTGACTGCCGGGGGAATTCCGCATTATAGAAGACGTGTCTCTCGTCGATGTTATAAGGGGATCGGACCCTACGGTGCTAGTCTAGCACTCAACTACGCACTACTGCGGATGAAGAGTGAAATTGCCCAAGATGGAGATGAATCATGATGAGAATGTAAGTAACCAGGAACTAGATCGCAATAAGCAAGCAGCGCTGACATGAAGCATACAGACGATCCATCAGTACGTTAGAAGCCTCACTTGGTGGAAAACCTCTGACACACGAGCAGGATCGAGCAGCAGCTCAATACCAAGATCTATCCCGGAACGGAGATCATGGCAGATGTGGGCTCCGTCCACTTTGTCAAATCCTCCGACCGAGTGCTGGTGCCACAGCCCTCCCAAAACCCTCATGATCCTTTGGTATATGGCCCATCCGTATGACTCGGTGAGACGAACGCTGACGCCCGCAGAATTGGAATAGGTTCTGGAAGATGAGCGCCATCTGCATGTCCACCGCAGTGTCGTTCAGCCAGGGTCTGGGACCATTGGCACTTGCGCCCATGTTTCCACAACTGATGAAGTCGTTTGATGCCGATCTGGCTGCCGTGATCAAATTCACTGGCGTTTGCATTCTCGTTCTTGGTTTCAGTAATTTCTTCTGGTGCGTCCTCGATAGTCTCGAAAAACCGACACGTGGCTGACGAGTTGAAGGGTTCCCGTCCAGGCAGCCTTCGGTCGACGCCCGGTCCTGATCTTTTCCGTCCTCATCTGTCTGGTCAGCAACATCTGGCGAGCGCTTGCCACCTCATATGGAAGTTACATGGGAGCATGTATCCTGAACGGTTTCGGAGCTGGACCTGCCGAGGTAGGAACACTCGAAATGACACAAGATTTCATGTTAATCAGGGGTAATAGACAGCCCAACCCGAGATCATTGCCGACGTCTTATTCCTCCACGAGCGAGGAGCATACAACACCCTATATTTCACCGCCTATTTTGGTTCTCTGATGGTAAGCATCGTGAACAAGACAATAATGACTTGAACTGACTTCTTCCCATAGGTCGGTCCCGTCATCTCCGGTCCCATGGCAGAACACATCGGATGGCGCAGCTTCTTCTGGCTCAACACCGGCGTCCTCGGCATCATCCTCGTAGCCCTCATCTTCCTGTTCCCCGAAACCAAATGGCACCGCGCCCATCCATCCGAGATACAGCATGGTCAAGAACAGGTGATGACTTCCTCCTCGGCCTCTGAGCCGGAGAAGCCGGTGGAGATCACCCTGCAGCAGGAAAACGTTGCATCTGAGAGTGGAGCAGATCAAGACCCTTGGCTGGGGAAGGGCTATCCCTCCAAACAGCAGTTCATGCTCTGGCAGCCGTCAGACAACTATCTCAAGACATTGTGGACCTGCTTCTGGATTCCGTGGAAACTGCTTGCATTCCCCATAGTCGAACTTGCTGCGTTCACCGTCTCGTGGTCCGCCAGTTGCTTCCTGACCTTAAATCTCACCCAGAGTCAAGCCTTTGCCGCTCCTCCATACAACTTCAACAGCCAGACCATCGGGTTCTTCAACTTTGCCATTATCGTCGGGGCTGCCATAGGCTTGGCTACCAACGGGCCTTTGTCTGACTGGATTTCGATGAGAGCCACAAAGAGGAACAGAGGTATTCGAGAGCCGGAGATGAGATTGCCAGCCATGATACCCTATGTGATCATCATGATAATCGGCAATTTCGTCGTGGCGTTTGGCTACGAACACAAATGGGATTGGAGGGTCAGTTCACAGCATTGTGTTGAAAGTGACTCAAGCTAACTGCCTTGCAGATTATTGTGATAATCGGCTACACTTGCGCTGGCATTCAGGTCTCCGCTCTTCCAGCCATTACCAGCACCTACGCTGTGGACAGCTATAAGCCCGTTGCGGGTTTAGTCTTTGTGGCGATCACAGTCAACAAGAACCTGTGGGGTTATGGATTCGCTGAGTTCATCACCCCGTGGGTGATCAAAAGCGGTTTCGTGAGCCCAATCATGATGAACATGTCTTTGACCACCCTCTGGTGTCTTTGCGCCATTCCGGTCTATTTCTACGGAAAGCGTTTCCGGAAGTGGACTGCCAAGTCATCAGTTCACAGTATGTAGTTCCATCACTGTTGGATGTAGCGCTGGATGCTTTCCGATTCTCAGTTCAGAATTTGAGTTCATGCAATGAATAATTTGATCCAGGACCTTCAGCGTGTACTGGCTGTAGTAGGTGTGTTCTGAATTGTGTGCAAATGTACTCGGGGGCGCTGTACATTTAATCACATCATGTCGTCATCGTCAGGGTCGTAGAGATCAAGATCCAGAGTTGCCTTGGGCTTAGGCGCTGGCGCTGGTGCGGCTGTAGCTCCGCTGCTCGCCGCGCCTGCATGAGCTGCAGCCTTGGCAGCTTCATTCGCATGTCTCCTCTCCTCACCCATAGGCTGCGGTGCAGGAACCACCGGCTCTGTAGATCCCAGACCCTCAGCCTCGCGTATCAATCGTTCCACCTCCTGATCGGGATCAAACCCCGGCCGACCTTCGGCAGCGGTCAGCTGTATCTGACCCATCAGGCCCATCCGAATACGGTCTTCCATCGGATATGGAATCATGTAAACCTGGCGGGTCATCTTCGCCGATTCATCGAGCCAGGATGTCGCTTCCTTCGTGACGGATGAGACCGGTTCTGCGCCTTCCTCCACACCAAGGCCACCATTTACACCCGTCATTGCCATGTCCTGATCGTCAGGTTGTAGACTCCTTTCCCGTGCTTTGACAGCCTGAGTGGCGTTGGCAGCTGCATCCGCCGCGGCTTGGTGGTTATACTTGCTAATCCGTCGCGCAAAGTCCAGCAGTAACTTGTAATCAATCTCCTTTGTTTTTCGCAGACCGACTGGCTTGGTTTGCATTTGATCGCCGCCGTAATCCAGATCATCATCGTCGGAAACGTCCTCCGCATCCGAATCGCTCGCCTCGTCGTCGCCGCAGATCCTTCGAATCTCCTTCTCGTAGCCCACAACGTCTCTCACGACACCTTTGACCTTCTCCTCCAGACTCTCAGCCTCCGCGCGAAGTTTTAGAATTCTGGCGTAGTTCTCCTGGTGCCGGCGAAGCGTCTCAATGGCAGATGTGAGCGAGTCGTCCGCGTCAAGTAGTGCAAGGGCTGCTGCAGGAGCTCCTGAGGCGGTCGGCGAGATTGTAAGGCTGGTTATGAGGGCATTGAGTTTATCTTCCAGATTCGAAAGAGTCTTTTGGAACTCGACGTTCATTCTGTGTATCCTGGATCTCTTCCTGCAAAATATGAGTGACTGCCTCAGCTTCAGTTGATCGCACGCGTCGCGGGAGGTGTCGACATGCAGCAATGCGAATTTGAGAGTGACGCAAAGTATATCAGGCTAGAAGGAAGGAGTAATCGGGAGATTTATCTGCATTGACCGTTTGTGATGCGACTGGAGCTTGAATGGTGACTGATCCAAGGAACCGTTTGAAGCAATGGCCTAAACGAGTAAGGAATATCACGTGACATGGCAGCTCCGCATCACGTGTCATCATCCAAGGATTGTTTCTTGGGGGTACAGTCTCTCCAAATTGCTGAGTATCTTAAAAAGGGCTATCTAATAATGACAGGACATGCCTCTCGCAGCTTGGGGAAAAACCCCATCTACCAATAGTCAAGAGTTGGCCTACCTTGATATCGGGGTCACATTGTGGAGAAGCGGGCGAAATGCGGAAGAGATCCAATTGCGCACGTCAGGCCATGTTAGTCCTCTGATATTCAGCAGGTAGTCAGTCCTCTGAGACATTACTTATTTCTCCTGTGATTATATCAGATTCTGCTTCTTGTGTTGTTGGATAAATTGCTAACAGGAGAGTCAATATCCTCCAAAATCACCCATAACTTGCGCACCATTTCGACAGAACGAATGCAATAAATAATTACCTGTAAATTGAGAGTATCTAGCCATCCACATACTGCTTGCCCAAAATGTCTTCCAGCTCTACTTCCCTTCCCTCTGCTCCCCAAGTTGAGCTGAACCCCCGCGTTGTTTTACAGCCCCCGCTTTCCCGCTGTGGCCATGGCCCGGGACTGATCCTTATCCGGCCAAGTCATTTTGCAAAATGTCAGGAGGAGAACCAAAGCTTAGATCCGGAGCCTTTGCAGAAATGGGCTGAGGAGAGTTGTGCAATAGTCCAGATTAGTCTTGACGTGGAAGCCAGTGGCGACAAGGGTCGTGTACTTGATCTTGTCAAGACAGCGATCGAGAGCCTTAATTCACTCCAGCAGTGTGATAAGAAGGATCAATTCGGCTTGCTAGGTATGAACAGTTATTCCAAACGCCATTTGCATACTAATAGGCTTAGTCTACGGTTCCCAAGCTGATTATGCCCCGGGTTTTGTCAAGATCCTGGATGCAATCACAGCTGCTCGTATAGCTGCGGTGGTATATTTCGGTAGTTGGGACACCCTCACTGAACTTCCTGCCTTGGTACATATGCCTGGAGTTAGCAATGGAGTCCAGGAAACAGAAAGCCGCACTGTGTATTCGTATCCTGACGTCTCGTCGGCCGGCTTCATTGTACCCGGTCATGCGGATTTCAAGTACTCGACGGCAGGTGTAGCCCATACCCGGTCATTGAGCTTCTTGAAGAAGCACTTAAATGGGCCCTACTTTAATCTCGAGAAGATTTGGGAGGAGCATACCTATTACGAATTCGGAGACCGATCGGTAGAAAAGACCATGGCGACAATGGTCCAGGAGCCTTATGTGAATCATGTTCCGACTGTGAGAGAGACCCATTCCTGCCGCTCTTGAAGAGACTGACGCTGAAAAGATGACGGGCGGAATTGGCCGTGCACGACTGAGCAATTTCTACTTGAATCATTTTATCTTCAATAATCCCGATGACACAGCCCTAGAGCTTATCAGTCGCACGGTCGGTATCGACCGAGTCGTAGACGAGTTCATATTCTCCCTCACACATAACAAGGAGATCGACTGGATGTGAGATCTGTCTGCATCTACTCTACGAGCGAAGTCTAACATCTTATAGGATCCCCGGCATCCCACCAACCGGAAAGCCTCTCCGCATACCGTTCACATCAGTCGTGAATATCCGTGGAGATCGTCTCTACCACGAGCACATAGCATGGGATCAGGCGACGGTCCTCGTGCAGCTGGGCCTGATGCCAGAATACCTCCCATATCCTTATGCTTTGCCCGATGGCAGACTCCCAGGCCCGGGGAAGAGATTTGAGTATCGAGTCCCTGCGGCCGGGGTGGAAACGGCGGAGAAGTTGGAGAACGAACATAAGATCCCCTCGAATCAGATGTTTGAGTATAAGATCCGAGAGGTTGATGATAATTAACAGTATATGCGAGAGTATATTGGAATTCGACCTTGTCGAGGTTTAGCAGATGCGGCGTAGACATAGACAACTGCAGCGGCAGTGGCATGCCGTATAGTTCGCTTCTTCTAACGGTGGGCTCCAAGGCTGTAAATTGGCGGAAATGACACTGTAAACTGTTCCTTGATGATGGCCTTAACGTGGACCATTTATTAGGATGACCGCGTTGACATGTGCGGCCCCTCTATGAGCCAGAGATCCTTATTCATGAGCAGCCGTGGGTAAGACACAAAATTTTCCTGTTTCGAATACAACTGTGGTAGAGGCAAGGGCAGGGCTTTAGGTACAGGTCTAGCCAACATCTGATATGGAGCTGCAAATAAATCAAAGTCTCAGGATTCGCCTAGATATACAAACTGTGATTATTCTGGTCATCTGAATTCATGCTGGGACATAACCTTGGTCGCGTATGGCTTGCTCAGCTCTATACCGAAGTCGCTCAAGAGAAAGCCTCCAGCCGTCACTGGGTTTTCTGCCAGTGGGAATCGCATTGCCACACAGCTCACCCCTTCTGATAGTGATTTCCTGGGGGGAGTCCCCAGGGGGGGGACGCGGGAAAATGTCGTGGAAAGGAGCTGTTAATTGAGCATCTAAAAAAGAAACGATGTTCCTGAGGGAGATCCTTACAAAGGTCGCAGGTCCTTGCTGATTTTAACGCCAAATCTCAAGTCTACCTTCTATTCTAGATTGACTTATTTGGGGCCATTTCTCAATGAAGACGATGTTAGAGTGCGCGGCCCCTCCAATCAGCCAGACATCTTTCTGCATCTGGAGGTATGGATATAGCTGGGAAAACCCTGATACAAACACAATCAGGACGTCCAGAGCAAGCCCTGTGGAAGCTGGTTCAGAGTGTAGGTGTTGGGGGAGCTTGCTAAGGAGGTCTCTAACACAGGCAGACATATGAATGTCAATTTCGCCAAATATGATCTGATTCCGGACGGCCAGATGTCAGAGATCATAGCCGCACTTGTAGGCTACTATGCTATAGACTAACGTCCGAACCTCAGTAACGTAATGAACTAATAATGACAGACTTGAGAAGTACTGCCGTACCCAGCAACGATTCAGTACCAACCAACAGTTCCTAGGGTTGGATCGGGATCCTCGGGGGCCGAATCACTGCTACCAACACTGAAATCCTGTATGCAAGTGATGTCAGCATGAGCCGATCTCTATCAGCATATGTTGGCTCGGTACTTCCAAAGCAAGAGACGTCAAACGTTTCTTTTAGCATTTTATCAAAGTTCCAGTGCCTCACTAACTAGTTTGTCTCTAGTTTCCTGGTAGGGCCGAGGCCGTAGAATTATTCAGTCTGAAGGGGAAGTAAGACGAGTCAGGCAACTAAGACAAGGCAGAAAATGTTGCGCAGTATTCAGGGTGGGCCCACTAGGTTGAGGTGCTTCCACGCTAAGCTTTCTTTTGGCCCGATTTAATTGGGCCTCTTTAATCCCTCAGTGTTCTTGAGCAAATTCTTCTCATGTGGGATGAGGAAGATAAACTTTTCTGACCTATGGGACGAGTCACATGGTTTGGTGACTGAGTGTCTGAGCTGTTGCTAACAATAGATGGTGCGTAGGCTAGACTAGGGTAGCCGGTGTCTTAGTTGGACCAGGCTCTCAGGTGTGTTCTCCGAGACATCTGCCCCTTTAGATTTGGACACTTTCAACCATGAATACTGCATTATACCATTAGGTGTGTAATACTGTGCTGAATGTAATGCTTTGGAGAGGATGAGTATTGAGCATCTGTTAACTAACCAATGTACCTCGGATTACCTAACTGGTACCATACCAATGAGCAATTGACCAACACCAATAGGAGGCTGTACTGTTGGCAGCTGTTGGTCAAACGTTGGTCCGTTTTATTGGATTATCGGAACCCTAGAACTTACATTAGTGCGGGAGTACCTGGATGGCTAGGTATTTTCTTATGGACCAAGATTCCTACCTAGTAAAATTGATAGGTGAGTGGGTAGGGTCTTAAGTTCTACAAGCTCATTTAATGGCAGTCACTCTCCACGCAACCTCCAGGCAACAGGAATCTTAATTTTTCTTAATCTCTTAATCGCATTATACATTATCAATAGAGACAACCAAGTCCGAGCATTAAGTGTAGCAATGAGTTACAGGATCCTCCCCGTAAGTGTCTCCAAGCCAACGACCGCAGGAAATGATCGGCTCGTGTCATTGAGGCTGTACAACACCAACCCAGCCTTGGGTCGCATGTCTCAGCCTAGGCAATACATTAAGACCCTTAACTTATCGATCTGCCTCGCCGTCTCGCGGTTCAGATTCCAGGACCCCAGATCCATAATCTCCTAGCTTGACTAGTACATAATTGTAGCTGTGTTCCAGAAGTAGCCTGTACACTAGGTATAAGACTGCCTGCCTTCCCGCAGTCTTCCTTTTTCCTGCCCGTCCATGAATCCGCCCATTTTAGGTTTACTTATGCCTTCCCCGCGTCAAATCACCTCACCATGAGATGAGCACGTTTCCCATCCATAAAAGCCACTTTTGCCACTAGTGCCGCTTCATTCATTACACTCCCTTTGACTCTGTACATACACCCGACGTTTCCCTTCTGCTCTTATTTACCATCCGCATACGGATATTCGAGGTGCTAAGCGCTGGATGCGCTCTTATACACAAACATAGTCCTCACCACCATTCCTTACGACTTTCTATTCCAACAATCACCATGTTGCTACGATTTCTGTCACTGGCCGGTCTCTGCCTGGGCCGTGGCGTCGCTGCCCTCGCCCCTCAGGGCCACCCCGCCGATATTCAAACATCAAACATCCAACATTCTCGCCATTTTTACAAAATCGACATTCCCTGCTCTCACTGTGCATTTTCAGACGCCGAATGTTCTCAGAGTCCCGAGTCAAAATCATACGTGGTACGTCAATCCTAACATCTCCGATACAACGATACTAACCTCGCAGACTATTGACTTCTCCTCCGACAATGGCACCCTATACGCCAACCACGAACCCGTCTTCCCACCGTCGTTACCCATGCAATTCTCCGCCATCAAGCGCTCAGATTCCGGCCACCAATCCGTCCAGGTCGCATACAGCCTCGACGCACGACCTTTCCCCGCCCAGCCTGGCGCCCTCCTAGGCGAGACATTCCTCCTCAAACTGCGCCTGTTCGATCTCCACAGCCGGCCCGTCACACACGACCTGGTCGCGGTGGCCGTATCGCGACGCAACGACGGCACCCTCAGCATCAGCAAGGTCGAGCGCAGCCCGTTCCGCAGACACGGCCACATGACGTCGCCCTGGCGCCTTCTCAAATCGCACATCAAGCCTTACCTCGATCAGTTGGCTGGTGGTGCCGGCCCCGATGGAGAAGGAGAACGGCGGCATCATCGCCGGCCGCTACATGCGGATATCTACCGGTTCAAGAACCCTGCGTCGCACTACCACAATACCATGCCGTGGAGCAGCCGCGATCGCAGCTTCATGAGACTCGTGCGGCCGGTGATTCTGCCTGCGTTGTTGGGTGTTGCGGCGGGGCTGTGTGCGTGTCTGGTTGGCTTTGTGGTTGGGAAGGTGATGATCTCGCTGTGTCGGTGTTGGTATGCCCGGAGTGGAAGGGGGTATCGCGAGGTTCCGGCTATTATCATTGACTCGGAGGAGTTGGAGGAGGGTCCCGTCTCAGAAAAAGAGAACTTGAGTCGAACGTCACGGTGGCTGGACGTATGACCTTATATGAAACCATAGATTTCTTTTTTGTATAATTAGTGCAATGCTCATGAATCATTCCTACGAAGTGCGCCGTTTGATAAGTCGGTATATTCCTTATCTGCATCAACAAGGCCTGCTGGCCCAATGGTAAGGCGCTTGACTACGGATCAAGAGATTGCAGGTTCGAATCCTGCGTAGGTCATTCCTTTTTACTTTTTTACTTTGCAAATTCCGTTGTGGATTTTGCTGTCAAAGTCTGGGTTGTATGGGGTATCCACTAGGACCCCATTCCGTATTCGGAAATTAGTCGATGTCTAGGCCATCTCAACCCAAGCATGTCCAACGCAGTAAGAAGTTTGATACCTGTCGGTCAAGTCAATTGTACAATGATAAAGCAAGTCCAACCAATTGTTTCAGAGTTGTTTCAAGGACAGATGCGCAGACCCAGAACGAAAACTGCTACACGTCCCAACGAACCAGGGACAAATATTGACTATCTAGCTGTAGTGGGATACACCGATCAGCATAACAAAGAGGACTCTGAACTGAACCCCAATGGGATATCCTATCTGGTGTGCTGAATGTGCCCTGAACGGATGAACGGCGGAAGACAGCATCTAATACAGTACGGCTGAATGAGCAGGACTTGCTCAACTACCTACATTCGTCATGGACCTCAAGCCAAGCATGGATCTTTGAATCCCCCTGCACCAATAAACCATCCTGGGACAACTTGACTGCACTGTGGCTGAGAACCTGGAGTCTGGACAGTATCAGTCTGACCTTGGACGGCGGAAGGAGAGGATGCGCCAGGCATTGGATTGACGAATTATGTCTTTGCAATTCCCCTACTTTATTATTTCCGCGTTCTGATTAGTACTGACATTGATTAGCTAGCGCCATCGAGCGTCGAGACATCTGTCACTGGTTGCATTCGCCAAAGTATCATATTATGAGATAATATAGCATACTACCTAAAGACTAGCTCTACAGACAGTTGCTGTCTTTCAGACGATATCCTCGAAGACTGCATACATGCAATAAAGAGCTCTAGCTACTCCTCGCGGACTTTCAGGCAAAATGCGTGTCTTAGTTGTGGTTGTGCTCATGGCTTACATCTTCCATTCTGCAGGACCGCGTCTCCTCGTATATACGTTGACCAACCTCAACCTTAATACTACTCATATGAATTTGCTCAGCAATATAATGTACCCCTGGCTTTTATGGCTGCAAACAGCCAGACCGGACTCTCAATACAGCTGTGTCCGACAAACGGCTGCGGTCTTAGGCCAGCCGGACTTGTGACGTTGCATCTTAGGATACTACTATCCACGAGTGATACTACTGTGGATTCTGATGTTAAGAAGGTATATTGCCCTGATTCTCCACAGCGGACACCTGCGGATCAGGGCGGAGTGACAGTTACTTACCAGCATACTAAACTTTAATTGAGATGTCAGTTGGAGCGTGGTGTGGTTCTTCCTTTGACAAGCATGCTTACGCGGTGCATTTACATGGATCGATGAATAGGACCATCAGCCTATCCGTACTCTGGAATGGAGCGGCATATTCCCATTAAGATGTATGATTATAACAGACTTAGAACACGTTTGCCGCCACGTAAAATCGAAACGCACATCCTGAATTGATCCCGGGCAATAGCAAGCTCAGCGCAGAGTCTTTATGATCGAAGACAGCTTGTCAAGCAGCGTATTAATCGTCCCCCTGTCTTTTTCAGCCGCGTTGGCTGGGCTGTTAATGACATTGACATTGGTGCCGGCGCCGGTGTTGGTCGCTCCACCGTTGACTCCATTTTGGGTGTTTCCGCCCCCATTGACGGGGTCAGTTGTAGTCGATCTCTTTGCACGTTCAGATACCTCGTTGCCGGCGGAGTCTGGCGCTTCCATGTTGGCAGAACCCCGACTGGCAGTCGAGTCTACATCTTCAGAACCCTCTGTAGCCGTTCCGGATCCTGCAGGGTTGTTGGGGGTAGATTCTCTACCATCGCCTGCAAGAGTCGAAGGACTATCACTTCCATAGTCTGTGTCGCCTGTGGCGCCTGTGTCGCCTGTTCCAAAGCCAGAGGCCCAGCCGCCTGCAGTGTTGTCGGTAGAACTGCTACTGTCCACGGAAGGTGCTGGCATTCCGGAGCTCCCGGTTCCAAACTCACCGAGAGTACCGGCAACAGTTCCACCTTCTTCAGGTTCTGTAAATCCAGAACCTAAACCAGAGCTTGGCGTGCCACTGCTCTCGGAGCTGCTGGGGGAGAAACCGCTGCCGTTAGGCCAAGTACCTGTGCCGTTGGTGGCGCCAGCATTACCAGAGAACCCAGTTCCGCTGCCCTTGGTTCCTGGACTTGCCGAAGTAGAGCTAGAGCCTCCGCTAACACCCAAAGATGCGGGAGTGGCAATACTGCCTGCATTATTGGTCGGAGAACCGCCACCCTTAGAGCCGTTACCGGGAACGGCGCCTGCAGCGGCAGACACACTCGCCCCAGTACCTGGAGCGCTAGAGCCAGAGCTCGACGGCGAGGCAGAAGTGCCTCCCCCTTCACCTCCAGATGGTGTGACCGTGATACCAGAACCAACCGTTCCAGCAAAGCTATTGCCGGTCCCAGTGTTTCCCGTCGTCATGCTTCCGGGCCGAGAATTACCTGGGGCGACATTCCCTGTAGCCGTGTTACCAGTGGCAGTGCCGTCAAAACCAGAGTATTGTCTGGACTGGATGTGCGAGCCGCTGTCCACGCCAGAGGCTTCCTGCCAGCCGAGCTCCTCGGCGAGGCCAGCGGCTCCCTCCTGCCCCAGTCTGTCATGGTAACCCTCCTGTGCCGGCTATCAGCGATGAACATTATGCTTTATCCATTAAGGAACTCACAATGTCTAACTGGTCCATGGCAATAGGTCTGGCTCCAACGAGACCAGAGAATGAAACCATATCGACCAAGAAAATCAAAGCCAGTAAGCTGGCCTTGGACTTCCGTAGAGTTGCCATAGTAGAGTTATCACAGCGATGTTTTGATTGATTCAAGTGGAGAATTACAACGATCAGACCGAAAAGGACTGCATTGACCGAGTCTTCGTCTCTGAAATTCACACCCAGACAGTGGGAATCTGTCACGCTTTTTAACTGTTTCTACTTCCTACGCGTCGAACGGCCGAGACTTGATCGTTACAACTCTTGAACCTCATGGGCTCAATCCGTCGGCGCCACAAAAGCAATTGGTTACATTAAGGTCAAGCAGAACCACGGCCGTTTCTGGGAGTGGACCGCAACTGAGGAACAGCTCCTACCTTAAGTCAGACTGACAGAGCTTATTCCTTGGTTCATGCAGTAAAACCCGCCGAACGCTAGGTTCAGGCGCGGGATCAATGGTATAGGCCGAGAGGACGAAGGGAATAGCAGTTCCAAGGGTGGATCCAGGTTGCATCGCGAAGGTTATACGCTTCGGGGACATGTCGAGCACCTGGTTTTCCCAAGAAAGACTGAGTCTAAAAGCGGGCCGTTGAATGACAGGTGCGAATGACAGGCGCGTCTCCGCCTGAAAGCTCTCTGACTGACCTCCGGATCCCTGAGAAGCTAGCTCTCCAAATTGAACCGGACTCCAGGTGCTGCCTGCGCTGTTTGTGAGGGATACCGAGTGCCTACCCTCAGTATTTGAATAGACAAGTGTACAGCCTATGAAACGCCCCTGAAGATCGGAATGCTCTTGCATTTCTATCAAATGGTGCGAGCATGGTTGGCAAGACTAGGCGATCTTGTTAACTCTGCCGAATAACTCGATCAAGCTAAGCATTAGTGCTTTGACCAATGGCTTTTGCGTTGAAGCTTATGGTTTCTTGCCTTCCTGCTGCAACTTCATGCAAACAGATGAGAATCCCATCCGGTCGGAATGCAACCGCATCTGGACGCGATCGGGGTGTCAACTTTGCCGGCCTAGTGGGAAGAGTATCGACCCACGATATGTCGACTCTGACTGCAAATGATGACCCCCCCTTCGCTTCACGGTCGGTTCCACTTGGGAGCATGTAGAAATGGTTTACGATTTTATCCCTCATTGTCTAAGGTCGAAACTCAGACTTGAGAATCATCAGAACGTGGGTGCTGTGGGGATGGGAATGGAATGGAATGGAATGCAGGGCCTGCTGTCAAGGAGTCTGGTCATAATCTCCCCAAGGAAGATTCCACGTTCCAAATCACCCTTTTCAGGCCAAGGAGCACTTTCCCCTATGCCAGTTGGGTGTTGCCCACAGTTCTACACACCTCTGGCTCATCATACCGTCTGCGGTAAGAGCACGGAAGTGACGCAAACGGCAGGTTAGGATGTCGGATTAAGCATCTCACATTGATCAAGCTTATTTTGCATGAAACAATGCTCACAATGGCCGTCGCGGATAGATTGACGACACGAGAGCTGTTTAATGCTTGCATTCCCACATACGAATTCGGTTTTTTGATTCAAAAATCTGCAGAGTGCACCATACGTTGATCAGTGAGCGAGGTACTTGTGATCTCCAAGCACGAGAATGTGTTCTTGGGTGTCAGGTGAGACTATGAGCCTGAAATATTCCCCTGTGGTCCAGAATTTCAGTTAGTGGATGGAGGGCGAAGATAGTACAAATAGCGAAACCCGAGAGCAGATGCGAAAATGAAGGGCGCTATGTGCAGGCTGCAAGACGAACTTTCTGAGTTGCTTCAGCTCGGGTGCGAAGACATTCCCAGTTAGGGAAGTGCAGCGCCACTGGGACCCATTTAGCTTTTGGTCAAGTAAGAACGAAGATGCCTGAAAGCGGCCGCCTTCCTAGGGCATTGTTGCGAGGTCAAGAGTCAAGACACAAGTCAAAAGTCAAAACACTCTTTTCGTCGAGTTAACCCTTTGTTATTGTTTTCGCGAGAATGACGCGTGTCGCAGTTCAAATTTTAGTTATGCTCGTGACATTGCCCACAAAAGGTACGGAAAGAACGGGCCTTGCCGAGGAGAGGTCATTTCCTATTATCTGTGGGAAATAACCATTGCCATCACGGGGTGATCTTAATAGAATGCCATGCTTCTGAGGGGCAGGAAATGTATCTGCAGGCACCTTCAATGCTCCTTGACAGCAAGGTAACTGTTAACAATCTCAAAACTTCAACAAGCATTGCACACCACGTTCGAATTAACGCAGGTTCAAGCTCCTGCAGCAAATTACATTGGCTTCATGTTTTCATCCATAGTAACCAGAGGTGCATAATTCATAGCTCTGGGTTAGCTGGTTGCGAAAAGCGTCCAAGGCCAAGGTTTGCCACTGACTTTACTCTATTGGAGCTTAGCCATTTACTTAGCATTAGTTGAAAAATGTGGCTAGTGGGCTACTTCATCAAGGATCGATGTATTGCACATAGGCAGTGGGGTTCTACTTGAGCTTCTGGCCAATCATGGGATACGGAAATGCTTGATAGTGGAAGGGAAAAAGCAAACTCAATTGCTCGGAGGCACTGTCGATCATTCCAAATCCCAGACTCCAACTTACCAGCCCCTTCCAGCTCCAACCTCTCCAGAGGAGACTCATATGGTCGTACACTAGGTAGAAATTCGGCCGCCACCTATTATTTTCTTGTGCTCTGTTGGCAAAATGAGCTTGTTAGTGCGCTTTTGGTAGCCAATCAGTATATGACGTTGTTATTGATATATACTGGTGGTGAAGTACAATGCCAGGGAGCCATCCTTAATTTGAAAAGGCAATGCATGGATTCTATTAGGCATCCCAATTTTGTCGATGCAAATTACTTGAAATTGGCTAGCATGTATCTAGGAATGCGTCCCTACAGTGGTTTATGTCCCTATTTCCCTTTGCTTGAAGCCAGGAACTTAGCAACACAGAACTGTGTGGCTGGTGACCGCTTCAAATTCCGTAATGATGAGCAAAATCTCAAATCTTTGATCGGGCTATCACACGCTAAACCCTAAAGTCTAGCGAGTGCAGCCAATGATGGCAAGAGATAGACTCAGGTCAAGCCACAGCGGCTGGGATCATTGCATACTCTCAGTCAGCCACCAGCCTGCATGCAGAACCAAGATCCCTGCCATGACCCACACTTGTAAAGTTGATCAGTCCATGATTCTAACAATGACTTCACCAAGCAGCAAAACACGCCCCGTGCCTCAATCTCTACTCCCTAGTAGTGGGTACCTACCTTGCACTACTCCGTACTAGACTAGCCACGTTGCTGGGCAGCATTCAGCCGAAGATGCGGTCACGGTCTCAGTGTGGATGAGGACGACTGCCGATCGTTCTTTCATTGAGAGAATGGATCCCTCAGGACCATTGAGAAAATTCGAAGCTTCAATTGCTGTCTAGTTAAGCGCGATTATTTGGTTTATCTTTGCCGTAGTTACCTTATAAAAAGCGCCCCTCCTCCGCTTCCACTCCCTCGAATTCTTTCAACTTACATCATCGACTTTATTCTGTCCAAGGCCCCAAGTGTGCTCAAATTGATTCAATATCACTCAGCATATTCAGCGATCTTCTCATTTTCAATTAATTCGATATTCTATACCTCATCATGAAGGCCTCTCTTTCACTCCTCCTGCTGACGGCGGCCAGCATGGCGAGCGCCGCCATGTCTTTCTCGGAGTGTGCAGTACGTTGCTCAACTGCGCTGAAACTCCCTCAGAATTTCCCTTGACTGACTCCCCTTTTCGCAGCAAATGTGCCTTAACAACATGAAAGCCAAGGCTGGCGAGCTGGGCTGCTCCAGCAGCGACATGAACTGTCTCTGCGCAAAAGCCAACTACGGATATGGTATCCGTGATTGCACCACCGAGGCCTGTCCTGCCGACAGTGCCGCCGCCGTCCTATCCAGTGCGCTGTCCTCATGTCCTAGTAAGTACTCACGAGAATTTGCGCTGCTTCAACGCGATCGAGCTAGTTGCTGACTGCAATCGCTAGGTGACTCTGCAGCTGTCACTGCCACAGGAGCGGGCTCTGGCTCTAATGGCTCTGGTTCTAATGGCTCTGGTTCTAATGGCTCTGGTTCTAATGGCTCTGGCTCTGGCTCTGGCTCTGGCTCCAGCTCTGGCTCTAACTCTGGATCTTCTACCACCGCTACTAGCACTGCGACCAAGAGCGGCAGCAACCCAACTGGTGCCTCCTCCACTGGCACCCACCCTTCGGAAACTGGAGCTACTACCACTGGAGCGAACCCCTCCAACACTGGTGCCACTACCACAGATACGACAATGACCACTACTACCAGCTCCACTTCCACCTCTGAGAATGGCACCTCCACTGGCAACAGTTCCTCCGGGACTGGAACTGGTAGCGGCTCTGGCTCCGGCTCCGGCTCCAGCTCCACTGCCACTCAGACTGCCCCCTCCAGCTCGCACACTGGCAACGTTGCCCCTCGCGGCGCTGTCGTTGGTTCCGGTGCCGTCGGAGCCCTGGCCCTCGCTGCCTTGGTTATCCTATAGAACTTCTCCAAGATTGAGTTAATGGCAATAGGTTTGCTGATGTCAGTGTATGTCTTATGTTGATGAATAACGGTTGATGATACCTGCCGTTGATAGCCGGCTTGTACATGGGAATTGGTGGATTCTTGTCTGATTAGTAAATAATGTCTTGATCTTTTCCGATGCCACGGTATACGTCGTGCTGTCCTAATATTAATATTTCTGGCCTGTCGATATCTTCCTCCCTTCAAGTTAGACTCTCCAGATGCCGTAGATATATGTAACCAACAATGTAAGTAGTATCACGCGTCAGCAGCTACTCAAAGCACCCGAAGTATCTACTTAAAGGACAAAGCAGAATAGCGCCAACCCGGTGCGCGCGCACGTGGACGCGGAAGTTGACTATCTGAGCCCTGCTCCGTACTGTCACTGCAGTTCGAGCGGTCTGTCGCATGTGATTCCTTGGCATTCCCAGAACACCTTTGATGACATCAGCTGGTATCAAGATACTCTTAATGTCGTCGGTCAAGAAGATCAATCGCTTGAGCCAAAAATTAAATAATATTGGAAGACAGGGATATCTGCGAGAGCCAAGCTTCCTGTCGTCCGTAGAGGTACCCCCTGCTCTTGGCTGGCGTGACTGGCCAGAATACCTGGAGTAATGGAATCCGGGGCAGGGATCCGTGGAGGGGGTAAAGACCTAAAGGTCGAGCCGTGGTTTAGTGCCCGTTCACCCGGACCGTCCATTGCGCACGTTCGATTATCCGATGGTCATAGAGACAGTACAAATTCTGGGATAGAGGAAAGCATACGGAGTTCACAAGATCACTTTCATGATGGTGCCTTGGATGATAAAGTACAGCTGACAAGGCCAGAACCTGTCATCGATATTTCGGCCATCTGCGTTTGGAGGAGATACATTGATCCGGAGCGAGCCGAGGTCCAGTCACGCGCGTTCGCCGAACGGTGGTTGTACCTCTGTAGCGGGACTGTAATTGTCGGTATCCTCCTGCTCGGCCTCGGCCGCTTTTGTTGCGGGATTGGAGCTATTTTTTCCCCTTTGACTGTCTTTTCTCCTCCAATTCTGTTGTAGAATATCATCCTCGTTTAATTTTCTCCTCACTTCAGCTTTGTTTCTCTGCTCTCCCTTTTCGCGACCATTTTGCGCCCTCCGTCCTCTCACCCTTCGCTCTCTCGTCGGAATTGCCTCATACCTTGGCCTCTGTGTCGCTGCTTATCTTCCTCTCCCCCGCTACGGAGTAACTGAGTCGTTTCCCCGCGTCTCCCTACCCACAATTTTCACAATGTCGACCCCATCTTCGTCTACTCCTGAGAACCTCAGCGATGAGCTCAAGGTCATAGAGACCAAGGCTGTCAACCAGACCATTGCTCAGATCCGCTCCCTCGCCGCAGGTGCGGCGGGTGGTATCTGTGCGGTAGTTGTGGGCCATCCCTTTGATCTGGTGAAGGTCCGGTTGCAGACGGCAGAGAAGGGTGTCTATTCGGGTGCCATTGATGTTGTCAAGAGGACTATTGCCCGTGAGGGTTTGGCTCGGGTAAGTCGCGCGGTGGGTTGAGCGTGGTGCTTGGTATTAATGAGCTGTAGGGATTGTACGCCGGTGTCTCGGCTCCGCTGGTTGGAGTCACCCCTATGTGTAAGTTGCGTCGCATTCTTTGGAATTCAGAGTACTGAGCTAACTGATGTATGTAGTCGCCGTTAGCTTCTGGGTACGTTTCGCGTAATAAAGCGGTGTCTGGCTTGAAACCATTAACAATTCATAGGGTTACGACGTCGGGAAAACACTCGTCAGCAGGTTCTCGGAGGTGCGCATGGAGAACAACACCCCTCAGTACACCATTGCCCAGATCTCCGCTGCTGGTTTCTTCTCCGCCATTCCCATGACTCTGATCACGGCTCCCTTTGAGCGGGTGAAGGTGCTTCTGCAGATACAGGGTCAGAACCCTCCGCCTCCGGGACAGAAGCCTAAGTACTCTGGCGGTCTGGACGTCGTCCGGCAACTATACAAGGAGGGCGGTATTCGGAGTGTCTTCCGCGGAAGCGCCATGACTCTGGCCCGTGATGGCCCTGGTTCCGCCGCCTACTTCGCCGCCTACGAGTACATCAAGCGCAGCCTGACCCCCAAGGATGAGCACGGCAATGTCACCGGTGATCTGTCCATGCCCGCGGTTCTGGCTGCCGGTGGTGCTGCTGGTATTGCCATGTGGATCCCCGTATTCCCTGTCGACACCATCAAGTCGCGTCTCCAGAGTGCCCCCGGCAAGCCCACAATTGGCGGCACCATCCGGTCGGTCTACGCCAGCGGTGGCTTCAAGGCGTTCTTCCCTGGTTTCGGCCCTGCCCTGGCCAGAGCTGTGCCCGCAAACGCTGCTACATTGTATGTGATTTTCCCGAGTTCGCAGTGAGTCTGGTTTACTAACGACTCGAACAGTGCCGGTGTCGAACTCGCGCACCAGTTTATGAAGAAGCTCTTCGACTAGATGTTGAGAACTTGATGGGACCAAAAAAAGGGGGATGGAAATCGATCGTCTAGGGTGGATCGTCCGTTGAGATACTGTATATATACCACTTTTCGTTGTTCGTGGCCCCGAGAGTGCATATTCCGCGTTTCTTGCCAGTTTTTCTCTGCTAAGTATGGGAGCATAGAAGCCTGGATATACTGTTTACTAGTATTATAGACTTGATGATTATTCTCTATTGGTTTATTCGCAATCAGCTTCATTATGCGACCGTCGACCAAGGCTGTTTTGATTTCTGAAACATTTGGCGCCATGCTGACAGCAATGATGATCCGAACCAATCGATTTTGCGGAGTTTACGAACAGATATTTGTCTGCAGTCCAAACCACTCGAGTTGATGTTTATTTTGTACGGCCGGCTCAAGCTCAGTTAGCAGAGCCAGCAGACAAATAGGTAGGTGAATAAATCTCCGTCGCGATGCTGGTCAACTTTTTTTTACCAGTGAATCAACCCAAATATTCGTACCGATGCTATGAATTGTGGGATGGTTGAACGAGGAAGCCAGCTGATGGCGTCGTGTTGCGTTGCCCCTAATTTTGCTGCTTCAAGACAAGGATGGATGGCTGTCATAACACTAGCATGAGAGTGATAGATCTGATAGGACCGAATGGTGCAACCTTTTGCGCCCTTCTAAAATTTTATTGGCGTCGATACATCCGTAAATCCCGAAGTCTGAGCCTCAGCCTCGTTGCTGCCTTCTAGCCTGCTCGCCTGCCTGGGACTGGTTGACCCGCCTGCCGCCCCCGTTCCAAGCAGATAAAAATCGCCGACGCCCCCATCTTTTCTTTGTTTGATTCTTATTGCCATCCAACTACTTGTCTCTCTCTATCCATCAAAGATACCTATCACACATTCTTATTCATATCCTTCGACAACCTTTGATCCACATTTTGACACGATTCATCATGGCTGTCAGCTCCCTCGTCCGTCGAGGCGTGGAGCTTGCCTCCGAGCATTTGCAGAAGCACCCGAAGCAGCCTTCCAAGCAACCCCCCGAGATCCAATTGTCGGGATGGCTCGTCGCTCTCTTTTTCGCTACACTGATTGCTTTTGTTCTTATTTCTTGGTCGGTGAGTGATGATTTCCCTCAATATAGCACGGCTTGAAAGGAATTATTGCTAAATGTACTGTGGTCTAGATCGAGTACACCTATGGCATGGTAGTCACCACCCTCGCTGCGGTTGAAGATAGCAACCCCGATATCTATGTCCGCATCGACAGTGACATTGATCCCACCAAACCCGTCGATGCAGTCGAACCCGAGTTGGCAGCTGTGCCTCCCAAACCCGTCACTAGCAAGCTCCGTACCACCATCAAGCACCTTCGCGCCCGTGCCGGTCCCTGGTCCCGATTCCGCGGCATGAGCATGTTCCTCACATACCTTTTCACTCAGAGTTTCTTGCTTAGTGGGATGCCCTTTAGCCTCGACCAGTTCATTCCGCAGTTGATCTTCCAAATGGTTGTTGGTGTTCTCCTGGCGAACCTGCAGTTGGCTTGGGTCCACATCGTCATCTCGGAGCCTTCTCCGAAGCGCTTCTACCAGCGTATTCCTGGCTACAAGGCCTGGTTGAAGATCGCACCCGTTGTGGCCTTTGAGCATGCTGTTGCTGGTCTTGCATTCTATCTTCCTCTCGTTCTGATGCAGGCTTGTGGGGTCTTGGATGGATTGGCCTCCGCTCCCGAGGATGGCGTTCCTCCTGCCGAGGCCGTTCGCCACGCGCTCACCGTTGTCGCTCTTCCTTCTCTGCTTTCGCTGATTGCGACAATTCCTGCTCGCGTGATATTCATCCGTGTCGCCGCTTCTATGCTGCCCGAGGAGGACGAGTCTATTGTGCCTTTCGATCGGTCTTTCGGCGGAAAGGTGACTCCCGCTATTCTTGGGGGCAGCGGTAAGCTCAGCATCACCGATGCTTGGAAGACCTTCGATCGGGCCGCTCGGATTCGTTTCCTCAAAGTGGTTGGAAAAGTCATGGCTCTGGAATTCGGCGTGTTTGCCTTCTTCTCGCTGGCGCTCGCGGGCGAGTTTTACATGGGAGCCGAGTCTTTCATGAAGATCATCGCGGATATGATCGCTCGCAGCGGCGGCAGCGCTTAAGTATACTATCATTCTGAACTGGTATCAGTCTGACTCGGCTGCACAAATTAGTCATCTACATTCATTTCTCATTTATCATCTCTGGTATATACGATTATCGTTTCTATTTAATGTCAATCTATCAGCTGCCATTCTGCATATGACTTTGTTGAATATTTGTGGTATCGGTTGGATCTTCTCGTAGAACTGGATTATTTTCCTTCGATAAAAGCGTGGAGTTGTATTTGAAGCATAGTGGCAAATCGTCTTGCCATGACTGTGGCGGCAGCGGGCTGCATCCAACGCTGACTTCATACGACCGATTGTCACGCCTTGGGCTGCCCCTCACCCAAACAGCCACTTGCCATTCCGTTCTCTCCTCTTCTCTTGCTGCTGGTTATTCTTAGGCATAGCCCCCAGTCTTCGAAAGGAACATCCGCTGTTCTCACATTTGTAGCCTATCATTATTCTTGCGCATCATCCGCGCTTGGAGTCCCTGACGATCTCTGATCTCTCTTATCGTTCTGGTCATATCACATCCGCCTGTCTTCCAAGGTATCTATCTGCTAGTGATAGGTAGCCCCGCTTCCCCACTCAACCAATCTTCACACCGTTCATTATTTTACGAATCACAGTTTCTTTCTCATTGCCGTCTTTGGGTACCTTTCAGACACATCTTTCTTATTTTTGTCCTCTACCTCTTGTCACTGAGGCCCAAAGTCCATCGGTTCTTCGCTCCAACTTCTCTTCTTAGCTCTTGGGGTGACCAGTAAACCTCTTCTACCATGGCCACAACACCAGCTGGTCGTATGCTGGCACGCCAGTTGCAGCAAATGCAACAGGACAAGGACATTCCGGGAATTAGCTGTGGGCTGGTGGATAACAATGTATTCGAGTGGGAGGTTATGCTCATGATTTCGGACGATGTCAAGTTGTACGGCGGTATGTACACATTTTTTCACCTCCGTTGCCGAACGGACGACGAGGACTATATCATGCCGATTGAATATATTTTAACTTGTCTGACAGGGGGTTTCTTCCGTGCTCGACTGTCTTTCCCTCCGGAGTATCCGCACATGCCGCCCAAAATGAAGTTTGAAAGTCCCGTTTTTCACCCGAACAGTAAGCTTGCCTCTTTACCCTCCTTGTGGTCGGTTGGATCCGTGGGATGATACTGAGACACTCTTCCTGTCAGTCTATCCCAACGGCGAGGTCTGCATTTCCATCCTTCACCCCCCGGAAGAAGACAAGTACGGCTACGAGTCCGCCGCCGAGCGCTGGTCCCCCGTTCAAACGCCCGAAACCATCCTGCTGTCCGTCATCTCTATGCTCTCGAGTCCGAACGACGAAAGCCCAGCCAACGTTGAGGCCGCCCGGCTATGGAGGGAAGACCCGGTCGAGTTCAAGAAAAGAGTCCGCAAGTGCGTCCGTGAGAGTTTGGGGGAGGATTGAGCTCATTAGCTGGAGTCGACTGCATACTATACGTTTGATGATTTTTCCGAGGGCTTTTCTTTTTTTTAACTGTTGACCAGCGCGATAAGCGGGTGCGGCTTTCGGTGCTCATTTATTTTCTCCCATGTGCATGAGGAACCGGTCAATGGGCGGTTCAGTCTTATACGTTGTTCTATGGTCTATACATCATCTCTCGGCTATTTTGTTTTTGGTATGGAGTTTACCGTGTTACCGGACTGGAGTTGAATTGATTCATTCTCATTACGGCATCATAGTTTGAGATCACCGCGCGCTGCACATATATATACTTGGTTGTTGGATACTCGCAGTGCCATCGATGATTGATATAGGCGACGAATTTTTCATGAAAGTACTCCGATTTCTCATGGTAAAGGATTGTAATATTTCCTCCGAGGGTAGTATCAATGAGAATATGTTCTATCCGTCAATAATGTATATACGGTGTAGCCATGCACTATAACCCAAACTCCGGCTAAAAGAAGCATTCGAAATGGACTAGAATGGTATACATAACAACAAAAGCAACTTTCAATGTTTATGGCTGGTTCTTGGGACCCTTTCGGATCGAGCCGAAGAAGAACCCTGGGTGTAGGATCGTGAGGGTAAGAATCGCCAGGGCGATCATCCTGATGTTGTTAGTGGCTGTATAGCTGCTGCATGGAAGTTACTGGACTTACATTCCGTCGAGAACAAGAAACTCGTTTTCCTTCTGCATCAGGGGGTTGCCCCATCCGCCGGCCATTTCGGGGATACTGGTTTCCTTTGTTAGTGTCTTGCGAGCGAGCGGGACCGCGGAGGTAGACAGTAAGGGTGGATACATACCGGTAGATACAACGGATCAGAACGGTGAAGTAGGCGAGGACCTCGCCGATGATGACCCATTTGATGTTTCTCCCGAGGGAGGTCTTCTCGCCCGACAGCCCAGGGCCCCGTTTCCGATAGCGGAAGAAGAACTCCAGCCCTAGGAAGCCGCACACGGACATGGTCGCGACCTGGAAGGCAATGCCGGCGATGATGATGTCGTCTCCTGCCTGGAGCAGCTTGCGGTTATTATTACCTGCTGCCGCGGCCACGCCGCCGCCTGCAGCTTGCAGGATGAGCGAGCCCACGTCGCAGCCGATGAAGATCCAGGTGAAGAGGGCGGGTTTGAGGCGCGAGTGCTCGGGTCCCAGGGCGAGGATGATGTGTTTCAGCGTGAGGTAGATGCCCGCCGCGACGAAGGTGGGTGCGAGAACCAGACAGACGATCTGCAGCTTGAAGGCTGAGGAGTTCCACGGGTTACTGTGCATCAGGACGCGGCCGATATAGCCGGCCAGTTCGAGGATGGCGCCTGCGGCGACCGCCAACATGAAGGTCCATGTGCGGTAGTAGACGCCGATGCCGAGCTGGAAAAGAGCGAGGATGCCGAAGAAGACGGTGAAGAAGATGTTGCCGGCCAGGTTCGGGTAGTAGCCGTATGTCGTGGCCTCGACCGGACAGAGCGGGCTGACTTCTGTGCAGGTACGGTAGCTAGCCATGCTCGCTGTGACCAGGGTTTGTGGAAGCAAATGAAAGAAAGAAGACGAAAAAGAAAAAAAAGAAAACGCAGGACGAAATGTATTGTCTATATTATATTGAGAAAGAGAAAAGAGAGGATGGACCCAGAACGATCCATAATGGAGGCTTTGAGTGGATGTTCTCCGTAATATTTTAGTAACCCTTGAAGGAGTAAATCGTCCATTTGGCATTCATCGTTTATATTAGCGCTGACGGCACCAAGATACCCCAGCCTGCCAGGATGATGATGCCAATGTTGAGGTGGATCAAGAACAAATATCGAAACACCTCGCCAACTCATTTGATTGGCGCTTGTCGTCCTCGCGTTCGCTATCGTTCTCGTTTTCGTCTTCGTTTTGCCCCACTGACAATGAATCCTGTCTTTATCATAACTGACACACGCCTGTGCTGCCTGCTAAGCCGCTCGGATTTCGGCCTCTCCTGGGCCCGTTGGTCCTTCAATCTCAGATGCAATCTACACAGTAGTAGAGGATCTCTACCACAAAACACGGTCAGGTACCTGTTCAATCGAGATCAATAAGGTTCTTTCCGAGCATAAAGTTGTAAACGGCCAGATTCGAACCCTACCGCCATTAGTCCGCCATGATTCAGGGGCCGGTAGATGGCGTAGTGGGTACACGGAGCCGGACCCCACCATCGCGACAGGACAACACCGGGATGTATCCGATAAGCTTTCTGTGCTGTACAACAAGTCAAAGTGGTGGGTTGAGATCAAAGAAACCAGTATCGTAGTCGTCGACAACAGTGCATCACTGAGGTGTCTGCCGACTACCGAAATGATGTTGTTGGGTGGTGCTACTCTGTCTGCATTGACATGCGATGCATATCACGTGACCACCCGATTATCCCGATCCACGTGGTTTTCCATCTGTTGTGACCGTCAAATCATCATCCATCGGCCATGCACAACACCACCGCAGGTGATAGCAGTTCCAAGCTCCTACCGTCAACGGCTGTCCTCCTATGGGATGATTTGGCTTCTTGAACCTAATCAGTCTTGGAGATGCCGCCCCGTCGATCCCATACAAAGTCCCGCATGGGCTGCGACCAGTGTAAGAAAAGAAGGGTCAAGGTGAGCCAATCATCTTTCAAATGTCTTCTGCATGTTTCTGTTATCCTATTTCTCTTCTGACAGCAACGTAGTGTGATGAGGCTGGTCCACCATGTGCAAACTGCATTGCTAGAGAGCTGAGCTGCTCCTACTACAACACCCCGAAACCACGTAGTTTAGCAAATGGGGCATCTGCTAGTCCTGTGTCCATTACTTCTTCTGGCGAGGGGCGCATTGCTGAAACGTCCGGCCCGTCCTTCGACTCTGGAACCTCAAACCTGGCCAAGGGTTCCAACTTGCGAGAGCTGGAGCTCATGCACAAATTCTCCACTGAAACGTACCTGAGCCTCTCGAATAAGCCATCAGACTACCATGTCTGGCAAATCGTCATTCCCCGCAAAGCTCTTGAACATGATTTTCTCCTGAATGGAGTCCTTGCGGTTGCTGCTTTACATATAGCTTCATCACTCAAGCCGCCAGATGCACTGTCCTATATTGACACGGCCCTGGAATACCATAATCGTGCTTTTGCCCCGTACCGCCAAGCCATAGATAACCTAACCCCTATGAATTGTGATGCTGTATTCGCCCACTCTGTGCTCACTACGGTCATTGGTATAGCTTTACCACGGCTGACTGCGGAGCGCGACAAGAGTTCAGGCATCACTGAAAATATCGTCGTGGTCTTCGAGCTATTACAAGGCGTAAGCAAAATTTTCAAAATCAGCCGCCCATGGCTCACAATGCAGCTGTTCACTTCACAAGATGACTCGGACAAATTGACGGCGTCGAAACTAGACAGTGAAACGGAGCGTGCGTTGAACCGACTAGCCGCATTGAACGATGATATTGTGGCTACTGTGGACCCTGATCAGTATCGTATAGTGAAGGACGCTATCTGTCGCCTCCATGAATGCTTTACACAACATGCTACCAACAGGGATGCGGCATCCGTACTCAGGTGGCTCGCAGTAGCGAGCAAGGAGTTTGCCCACGCCCTAAGATGCCGGAAACCCTTCCCCCTGATGGTGCTTATGTACTGGGGCGTACTTCTTGGTGAACTCGATGGGAAATGGTGGTGGGCGCAAAGCTCGGGTACAGCTCTGGTTTCTGAACTCTTGGCCGCTCTGCAACCTGGAGATATCCGTTGGGAGGAGGCTCGGCTATGGCCCAAGCATAAAATGGGTCTATGATCTACTCCGGGATCGATTGGACTCATTCCTGCTAATGGTTCTGCCTAATGCTCCTGCTCGCCCATTGTTACCGATCAACGGAGCCGGTCTAAGTCACGAATGATTGTCTAACCAGAAAGATGATCAATTGGGTTAACACGCGACATATAAACCAGACTTCAAATGGTTTTGGACTAGCCACTCCGTGCGCACTCATTTGAATACAGAGTAGCTCGAAACGACATTCAGAAACACTAGAGCTTCGCCAACTTCTTTGCTGTGTTCTCATATATCTCCTTGATCCTCGCTGAATTGAGCTTGTCAGCGTCATGCTTACAGGCAGCCAAGCTCAATGGTCCAGCCATCTGTTTTAGCCAATACGATCTGCCACAGTCAAACACCCAGTTCCGTGTACTGACTTTAACCAGATCGGCCAGGAGCGATTGGGGGGCGTTTCGGTCTTGAGTGAATATGAGAGTGGGTAACTCTTTCTGAATCGACGGAGGGGCGCTGGACTCTGCGAGACGCAAGAAGTCGTCGAAAGTGAACGGCACATAAAGTTGGGTTCCGAGATGAACAATTCCCTGAGTTCTCACCGCCGCATGCAGGAGACAGCCATTCGCGACAAAATCGACGGGAATCTCGTCTACGATATTTGCACCTGTCTCGTAACCCTCGGTGGCGTGCCAAACATGTGTGCCCCCGCGATCCGCAAAGAACAGACTGGCAAATTTATTCATCGGTGTGGAGTTGATGGGCCCGTACAGAGGGTACGGATCCCTGATCGCAGCGCCGAAAATGGTTGGACGGACAAGCAGCAGAGGCAGAAGAGGGTATCTCTTCAACAACAACCGCTCCATGAGGTATTTTGCATGGGTATACGATGATGAAAACCGAGCGGTGTCCGGAGATTTGCCCGTCGAAAGTATGGCCGCGAGCTCATCCTCTGGATCCGCGTCGGAGATGGAATACAGTCGCTCTCCGACATGACCGTCTGGTAAAAAGCTGCTGACATATGCCGTCGAGATCTGGACGAATAACTTCAACCGTCTGAAGCGTGAAACTATCTTTGCAAGCTCAAGGGAAGGGAGACAGTTATTCTCGATCGCTTCCGCGATGCCCGCGTCAAGCGTGATCTTGGCTGCTGTATGAATAACAAGTGTGACCTCTTCACGCAGTCGCTTCAACGCAGAATCTTCGATACCAAAGTCCGTCTGCTTGATGTCACCAACGACAAAATGAACCTTGCCAGTGCTGAGAATCGCCTGAGTCTGTCTCGGCATGAGCCTCCGCCATTTTTCAATGGCAGACTCAGCCGATCCGCGGATCAAAACAAAGATCTTGTGGGTAGGAAGCTGCAGTGCCAACTTGTAAAGAAGACATCCTCCCAGTGATCCAGTACTGCCCGTGAGGAAGACAGAGTGTCTCGTGAAAGTCTTCGCATACCCATTCCTCGGGACGTCGTTTTCTGCCGTTGTGGCTGACATGGCTAACCTGGGGAACTTGTCCAGATGATATCTGGAGCGATATCAATCACTGAGGTCCTGGGACATCATATTGCGAGGCTACAAGTCTACAAATATAAGATGACTGAGTTGATCATGACGACCTTACACCGCGGTTCGGCGCTTCATCTATGTGCATTTCGCATATGATTCCCTGCATATGTCAGCTCGTCCTGAGTCGGTGCTGTAACACAAGCTACATAGTAGTGACCTTCCTATTTCTCAAGCCAATGGAGACGTACAGTATCAAATTCCTTGGACTGTCTCTGAATCAATTGGCTTCTGAAAAGGTCCATCTCTTGCGTTCAACCGATATATTGGATATTAAACTCCAGTCCCTTTCTCAATTTGTCAATATGTGCAGCTGGGGGTATGCTTTTGTACAACGTTTATGAAGTTCTTCGCTCCACGGGCTGCTTCCGGCGTCGAGCGCATGCTTTGAAGTTCGTCATTAGTGTAGCGCTCTGAAGCAAGGGAGTAGTGATGATTTCTTCAATAGACTCGTTGACTACCACGAAGAAACTAAGTGGTACAGATGTCACACATGGTGGCATTGTGGTGGTGGGACGTCCCTCTGAACATCACTTACGACGCTGGACACCGAGGCGGATATACTTTCTCACTTCGAGACTTCAACCATGGGACAAAATCAGTTAAAACAGACCGTTATACTGAAGTGAGCTCGTTACACAGTCACCAGTTGATTAAAATGATATACATGGCACATGCATTCCAACCACTTCCGTGTACGCAAGTCATAAATAGTACAAAAAGGTATTTTCATGTGTTCAAAACTCTTCGGTGAGCTGTATGTCATATCAAAATATACAGAAATGATGACTGCAATCAGGGGCTTTTGTTGCCCCCTCCGCACCAGCAGCGACCATCGCCCTCTCGCTCGACCTGGACAAGGATGTCCATGTCCTTTTCGCGGAGGTAGTTAACCGTCCGTTGTCGCACATCCTCTAGGTCGGCTCCTCGAGACGCAATGATATGAATCACCCCGAGGACGTTTGCTTTGTGTTTCTCATGAGAATGATCGTGGTCGTGATGGTGGTCCTGTTCGTGTTCGTGTTCGTGCTCGTGGCCGTGGCCGTGGCCATGGCCATGGCTGTGATTGTGACTATGAGAATGACTATGGCTGTGGTTGTGACTATGGCCATGACCATGACCGTGATGGTGGTCATGTCCCGAGGTCGTTCCTGTGTCGTCTAACCAAAACTTCGGCACTGTGTACCCCACAACTCCTCGTAGAGAGCTGACACCGGCCAAGGTTTCACGGACGTTGTATTCAACGTCGGCGGGAAGGGCGAGCAATAGGGTCTTAGCAGTACTACTGACTAGTGGGACCGCCGAGGCAAAAATCAAAATGGCAATCAAACATGAGGCAATAGGGTCGTATCCTGCCCAGCCTGAGAAGTGCACAAGAATGGTGGATATCACAACCGCCACGGAGCCAAGAGTGTCAGCGAGAATATGGAGGAAGATACCGTGCATATTCTCATTTCCATGTGCGTGTGAATGACCATGATCGTGCCCGTGTGCGTGGCCGTGGTCGAATGCCATGATACCCACAAGATTGACTAGCAGACCAGCAACGCTGACAGCCAACAATTCGCCCAGTCGATGCATCTGACTTCCGGAGGAAAGTCGCTCCACAGCTTCGTAAATGATCTCAATACTTATGATCCTGGGTAATTGTCAGATTTAAGCTTCATTGAAAGGTGGATTCAAATCGTACATGAGAAAAATTCCGTTGGCGAATCCGGAAAGAGTATCAACCTTCCCATACCCGTAAGGGAACCGAGCACTTGGCGGCCACTTGCTCATAACGGCAGCACAAAGGCCGACAACAAGTGCAAGGCAATCGAAAAACATGTGTATGCTGTCACTGAGTAGTCCCAACGAGCCGGTGATGAATCCGTAGGATAATTGAACCAACATAAAGGTGAAATTCAAGCTATAAAATATCATCAGTCGTCATCATTAAATGCAAAGAGGTGTACATGCTTACCTCATGAAGTAGAATATACGACGAGAATCCCTTTCTTTGAGGATACTGTACAACAGGGGGTAAGGTTCGCTGTAGCGAAGAAGGACCTTGGTCACCCGAGAGGCTCCAGCCGCTGAGTGGCCATGATGATGATGCTGATGAGAATGGCGCTCAAGGCGTAGCCGGCGGTCCTCGAAGCGAGCGGCGAAGAATGACACCGCCGCCAGCGTGCACCGCGATGCATAGACCACCCAGTTATCAGCAGCTACAGGTGGCGAAGATAGAAATCCTGCTGCCGCAATACCTGTAGCGAGACCCCATTTGTGCGGCGAACGAAGATTGGGCGGGTTTGAGAAGAGTAAGGATGTTGCGTAGCTTCCGGCTGTTGCCAGCAGGTACATCGCATCCAATGCCGAGAGGGAAGGGATACCAAAGAGAACGAAGCCGACTAGTCCAACAACCAGCCCGAGTATCAAGGTCAACATACCATCGTCCGCCGAGACGACAGATAATGAGCGAAAGTTCCGGACTACCGAAGTGTCCGATTGCGAGGAAGCCGAGACACCAAAACCAGTCTCCCGGGAAGAATTTGACCGGCCGACATCTGCAAAAGGGGGAGCAATGACAAAAAGTGACAATAACAAGGAGAGATAGCCGGAGATCGACTGTGACTGCTGGGAGCCAGTTAAACCGAAAAAGCTCAACACCAGAATTATGAGTATCAGAGCAACTGTGACTTTCTTGTGGACCAGCTTTTCGCGAGCGTCACTGCCAGCAGCGCGGCCTTTGGCAAGAGCGGGCAACCCTGATGCTGCTGCGAGAAGCGAACCCAACGCGACAAGGAACCCACTAACTTCGAGCGCTGCGTATATAGGCAACGCAATTGAGCATATACGAGCAAGCGCTACACCTGCGATATCTGCCCTCAGATTCGGAACTTTGACCACAGATTTGTCCCCAGCCCGTGAAGACCATTGAAGTTGTCCAACACCCGTCATGACCATAGTGACGGCTGTCAGACTGCAGGTCCTTAGAACTGCCTGATCCAGACCCCCACCGGCCACCGTTTTCGGGTCAGTGTTGTCCTTATTGGGGATAGCTGAGTTCCAATGGGCATATTGCTTGTAGTACCACGACAATGCGATCCAGGGTAGAGCGATCAGCAGTCCTGAGACGAGCTCGCGACTAAAAGAATAAATGTCACTTAGTTGATCCGTGGTTTCTTATCAGGATCACTCACTTCGTGCTGGGTGTAAAATCGTTCGAGATGACAGAAACATCACGCGCGCGCAATTCTGTAGTATTTTCTGTCTTTTCGGTTGGATGGTAATGCGCTGAATGTCCGTGGTTGCAGCTCCCTGAGTTGTTGGCTGCACCATGCAAGTGCGAGTGCTGGTGATTGTGTGATGTCGACCCTAACGCAGAGCCATTGGGTGAAGCTGGGTCTACGGAAGACAGGTTCGTTTGCATTGGAGTTGCGGAGCCATTCAAAGAAGACAGCGACTGGTTTACTGAGGGTTGTGTCGAACGCTTTGAGCGAGAGTGGCCATGGCCGCGAGAGTGTCCAAATCCATGTCCATGAGGTGCGGGGAAGTGAGTATCCACGCTGGACACGGGAGCTCCCGTTGTCATGGTATCTAATTCTCCAATTTGGCCTTTCTGCCAATTCGCAATTGAATGTAACAGCAACGAGTGTGAAGGCGAAGAGGCCAAGACGTTCGACGGGTCGTCGCGGCCAAGATCGGGGCGGAATAGGGAGCTTAGCAGCTCTGAGGGGACAGTCGGTCAGGGAACTGAGATAAGGAACGCGGCATCGCGCCAAAAGAACGTGCACAGTCACTGATCAAAGAAGTGGAGCAATATTTTCCTGAAGAGGATGTTTTATAGAAAACCAACTTTGAATTGAGTGAACCTTTGCGTTTCATCAGCTGCTGGTGATAACGCATGGGTAAGGGGCACACGTGATACACGCCAAGATTCCCTTATCTCTCCCATCGCCTGCCATTCTGGGAAAGGTTAGCAGCCTGAGGTGTCAACGAGGGGATTTTGATCATTATGGTACTCTGTACTCCGCGCAACGCATAGCGCAGCGTAGTAGCGTCGAAGCTTTTGAGTCTCTGTCATTCGCCTTTGTACTCACAACTGGGTTTCTTTCGGCCAGCAATATGCGATAAGTATTTGTCAATACTTGTTTATTCGACCCTCTTAAACACAATGGTTAGATTGTATGATTTCTCCGCCAACAACACACCATGATTGAATCCTTGATCAGCATCGCCTTCTACATCTCCACGGCGGTGACACTATTACTGTTCTTAGTTCCTTCAAGATACGACCCGAGACTGTTCGACAGGAGCAAAAAGGATGCTTCCAATGCACCCAAAACGACGACGCAGATTCTCGTCCTGGGCGATATCGGCCGCAGCCCGCGCATGCAGTACCATGCTTTGAGTATCGCAAGGGGAGGAGGCCAGGTAGACATTATCGGTTACAATGGTACAGCCCGATCAGGTTTCTAAATCGCGAGTGAGCGTATGACTGATGCTCTTCACAATACAGAATCAGAAGTTCATCCCGACATCTCGTCCAATCCTAGAATATCCATAATCGCCCTTCCACCGCACCCGACCTTCCTGCAAACAAGTAATAAGTTGCTCTTTCTGCTATTTGGTCCGCTGAAAGTAGCCTTCCAGATTGTATGTCTCTGGTGGGCTCTTGCTTACCGCACGCAGCCCGCTCAATGGCTACTCGTTCAGGTAAGACCTTGGCCCCCCAAGTGACTCGTCAGGTTTCTATATCTTCTTACTAAAGTTGGTCCAATGCAGAACCCGCCTTCCATCCCTACGTTGGCAATCGCGTCCATGGTATCGTTCCTCCGGCATACCAAGTTGATAATCGACTGGCATAACTTTGGGTACACCATTTTGGCGCTCAAACTCGGGGATGGACACCCACTTGTGCGATTTTCCAAATGGTATGAGAAGAGCTTCTGTAGATACGCCACGGCGCATTTTTGTGTTACAGAAGCCATGGCTTCCGTTTTGAAGAGCGATTTTGGCCTCACAGCCCCCATACTGCCCTTGCATGACCGGCCAGCAAGCCATTTTCAGCCCATCTTGGATGAAAGCGAGCGGAACAGTTTTCTTGAATCTTTGCCGGAAACAGCCTCAGTGAAGCACCTGCTCCAGGCCGGGTCCCTCCGTGTAATAGTCAGTTCGACGTCCTGGACAGCTGACGAAGACTTCTCGTTACTCATTGACGCATTGTGCCGGTATTCGAACATGGCAACCACCAGCAAGCCCGGATTACCCGCTGTTCTGGCCATCATTACTGGGAAAGGACCTCAGAAGGACATGTACCTGAAGCAAATATCAAAGCTTCAAGAAGTGGGCAAGCTCAGCAAGGTCTCAATTCGCACCACATGGTTAACCACAGATGATTATGCGCGCCTTCTGGCGTCTGCTTCCCTGGGAATCAGCTTACATACCAGTAGCAGCGGTGTCGACCTGCCCATGAAAGTGGTTGACATGTTCGGGGCTGGATTACCAGTGCTTGGCTGGGATCGTTTTCAAGCCTGGCCCGAGCTAGTAACAGAAGGTGTGAACGGTATGGGCTTTGGAAGTTCTGGTGAGCTCCTTGACCACCTTGTTGATCTGTTTGAGAACCCAAGTAAGCTCGAGAAGATCCGTACCGGTGCTCGCAAAGAGAGTAATCGTCGTTGGAATGACGAATGGGATCCTATAGCTGGCAAACTCTTAGGCCTCGCATAAAGCGCCCATTACTTCCATCGGTGTTCGTTTGAAGCCGGCTTTGTTCCTCTTCTGCGTAGCTCGGGTTTTATCTTGAATGCAGGCCTCTAGGCACGAAACTTGCCACCACAGTATATGCACGTGTCAAACACGTTAGAGAGTTTCTGGTAAGCGCTGTGAAGTTCAGTCCCATGAAGCTGAGCGAGGGCAGCTTCGTTGAGATATTCTGTGCCACAGTCGGAGCAGAACTTGGATACTCCCGGCTCTTGAATAGAGAAGTATGAGAGATTGCAACGACCTATGCAAGACAATCAGTCCAATTGTGCTTCACGGTTGGCAAAAAGCTTTTATGGGCTTACCGAATAGATGGCCACCTGCACACTGTGCTTCCTGTGCTGAATACCAAGCTACCCCAGCTTGGCATATATCACACTTTTCAAAAATGTCCCCGCCAGCGCCGTCAAGCTGCTCTACGGACTTTGATTCGAGTTTATTACCAGGCGAGGAACATTTTGTTAACTCCTCAGTCAAGTCAACTCCAGTAGCAGTCGCAAGCCACTCGAAGACTTCCCTCGCTTGTAGGAGTAAAGACTCATCCTGGGATTCCACAAGAGCACAACAGGCAGCCGCGTACACGAGCTTCTGGTACCAAGGGTTCCTGTCATCGTGGTCAAGAGAACGCAATGTGAAGCGCAGCACCACCTCGCGTCTGAGGCGCAAGAAATCTGACGTGAATACTGGCAACTCGCGAAGGAATGACGGAGTATGTGGTTGCTGATGTAGGTTTGCCTTAGAGAAAACAATTATGGTGCGCTCCTGCGAGCCAGTGCGGTACTCAATCATGTCTCCTGGGTGGAGAGTAAATGCAACAGCAATGAGTCCATCGTAGGCTGCCAGTCCCCAGATCCTGCCAGTCGCTAGTCCTCCCAGATCGTGGTCAATATCGAATCTCTCCCGCATAGCATCAAACTGAGCTTGCCAAGGTGGCGGCGAGAGCAGGCCGTCATCTTGAGCATCAGTGAATTCAATGAGTTCCTTAGCTGCAGCATGTCCCCCGGATGTGCCCAAGTGAAGTGAGGATAGCTTGGACTCATCATCACTTGCAACCGTCATGGCTATGTTCTATTAGTAAAGCAGATTAAATTGTATTAGTGTAGCGTACCACTGATAGATTCCCAATGCCTTGCTTCCGTTTTCTCAATAGCGGCGTCGGTGTTTTCAAACAGGGGGTATTCTCTTGTTCGAATTTTTCCAGATGATGTCTCTTTCCCCTCATATACGGCGCGAGGGAGGCTCACCACCATCAGCGCTCCTACTGTGGTCACAGCTAGGCCAATTTCCCCAGACTCTGCCTGGATATACATGAGTTCAAGGCATTGACTAATGTTACTCAGAATCTTACCGCTTGAAACCACTCAAGAGGGCCGCGGTAGACGCGTTCGCCAGCATCTTTGCTTGACAGATCTGGGATTTCCGAAGCGGTTGCCTGCAAGTTCCAGCTAGAAGGAGCCTCTGAGTCTTCGTCATCTCGGCGTAGGTTTACTTCGAGCCTAACCAGCTTGAGTTTGGTACCATAAGTGGCGGCTGCATTTCCTATCACATGATAAACGTCCGGTGCCATCTCATCTTGTTTGAGGAGCCAGGGCCCAGATGACAGGCCCGAGATCCTCATTTTTGACTTCAAGGTCGTAGCCAGGATTGAGCCGGACTGAACTATTGGATATTTTGCCGCAGGATCATGCACTGAGCTGATTGAGATTATATCGAAGGAATACGAAGAGAGAGCCGAATCAGCTTCTGCTCTCCGAACATGCAGGAAAATCAGATCATTGTCGTCATTAGAAATTGTGAGTATTTGAAATCCCCATCTGCTTTCGGCAGCAAGGACGGAATTGTTTTGGTCCTGCGGTACCTTTAAAGGTGGACACCACGCGAATTCCCTTATGTTAGTCTTCCTCAATCGCGGGCCCTCATCATGAATGAGCGAGTTGAAATGTGCAGCTAAGGCATTGTTGACGATGGCAACTCGCATCCATTTTCCAGCAACGAGTTGATAGAAGGATAGTAACAAGTTGGAAGTCAGCACTGCAAGTGTGCACCGCCTATGTCTGGCGAGCCCTGGTGGTGACCAGGACAGACCGACTACTGAGCTCTGCGAGAGTTCAACTCCAATTGAGAAATCATCCCGGTTCTGAGGGAACACTGTGGGCCACTCCCTGTTCGTGAACAGATTGGCGCGAAAACGCGTGATATGCCACGCTGGTTCACATTTTGGACGATCAGAGCCACTTTCTTCCTTCCCCTGTGTTGGTTTCTTCGGCGTCTATCTGGTGTGAGCTTTATTCAAGAAGCACATAGTCGAGGTGGTGACGGAGCATACTAGGATCTGAACATATTCACCTGCGGCCAGGGCAATCTCACCATCTGCTGACCAGGCAAGGCAATTGTAGCAGGAAGGAGAGACGGTTAGCTCGACCTGATCAAACATCGCTATCGGGATTCGGAACGAGCTGTCCGTCAAGAGGCTACAGGGATAGCAAGGCGAGCTCTTGACGGACCAAAATAGTGCAGTTAATCTCTCTATTTGTGAAGCAATTGGACATTGCAGTAAAGTCTTAACAATAGCTGGGATGTCATCGTTTCAACTATCTTGGGTTTAGCCTCAGTCTGGATGGTGCGCCTTACTGCTTTCGGTAAGCGTTACATTTAGTGTCACGTGACAATATTTATAACATTGTGCCGACAAAACTGCTACATGATTCATCTCAATTCTCAATTCTCATCCATATATATACAATCATAGCATGCCAAGAATGCCCGGTCGGAGCGTGGGTATAATCATCGCAGTGTCGCTTTTGAAGTGACCAGGAACGTTGTGAATAGGAGGACAAATAGGAACGTTAACCAATGGCCTTTGGCTCAGTCGACCCGGTCCAGCTTCTGAACGACCATTGCAGTTGCAGCGCCACCACCGTTACAGATGGCAGCCACACCGTACTCTCCAGGCTGCAGTTGATGGAGAAGAGTGACCAAAATACGAGAGCCAGAGCTTCCCAGGGCGTGTCCTAGGGAAATGGCTCCTCCAAGAGGGTTGACCCTAGCATTCTGCAGACCGAGAATCTAGTGAAAAGTTAGCAAGGGGGCAGAATCAAACAGGGGTCTATAAATGCATTCAGACTCACCTTCTCGTTGGCCTTGATGACAGCAGCAAATGCCTCATTGAACTCCCAAACAGCGACTTGATCCTTAGTGATACCTGCGCGCTCGAGGGCGATGGGAACGGCCTTGGCTGGGGCAACGGGGAAATCCACTGGATCGATGGCGGCATCTGCGGTAGAGACGATGCGCGCAAGAGCCCGGTTACCCTGAGCGAACTCGCGCGCAATAGCTTTGCTGCCCAGGACGAGCGCCGAGGCACCATCATTCATGGTAGAAGCATTGCCAGCGGTCACTGTGCCAGTACCATCCCTCAAAAATGCCGGTTTCAGGGAGGTCATCTTATCAATTCGAAGATTCTCGTAGCCTTCATCACGTTCAATGACTGTCTCTCCCTTCTTGCCCTTGACGGTAACAGGCACGATCTCCTCGGCAAATTTATTCTCCTTCCAAGCTGCTTGCGCCCGCTGATAGGACTGAATGGCGTATTGATCTTGTTCCTCACGCGAAATCTCATACTTTTTAGCTGTCTTTTCAGCGCAGATACCCATGTGGAACTGGTTGTAGACATCCCACAGGCCATCCTGGATCAAACCATCCTGTAACTTGAGCTCTCCGAAGGGTGGTAACTGGCTGGATCGAGGCAAATAGTAGGGCACGCGGGACATATTCTCCATACCACCTGCAACCTGGGCCTCCGCGAGACCGAGCTGAATGTTTTGAGCGGCGAGGGCCACAGCTTTGAGGCCAGATGCGCACACTTTGTTTACCGTCATGGATTCCACTGTTGGAGAGAGTCCGGCGAACATCGAGGCCTGGCGAGCGGGTGCTTGACCAACTGCTCCCTGAAGAACATTGCCCATGTACACATCTGTAATCTTCTCAACAGGAACGCCAGATTTGCTCACGGCGGACTTGATGGCAACTGCACCCAACTCGGGAGCGGATACCGAGACAAACGATCCGTTAAACTGGATGAGAAATTAGTCGACAAAAGAAGACGACTAAGGGTGATCAGCAGAAAGCCTCACCTTAGCAGTAGGTGTTCGAGCACCACTGAGAATGTAAGCCTCCTGAATCTCCTTCAAAGCTGAACGAGCAGCACTGAAGTTTCGTCGAGATGCGGGGAATGCGGCGCGCTTGGTGGCCAGGCGGGCTGCCAACCCAGTTGCTGTATGAATCGCCATGATGAAAGAGCAGAGGTATTATAGGGTGATTATGACGGGATTCAGAAAGAGGAGAGTGAGAGAAGGAGTACAATATGAGGAGGAGGTTGATGAAGCGGAAATGTCCTGTTGGCTTACTGCAACTCGCCTCTGGTGTCGCTCCGTCCTCCGCAAGGTATTCCGCATGTAGCCGCTCTCCCGCAACCGAGGCTGTTTGGACAATATCTTAAATCACATGATCACTGTTCACATGACCATACCTTCATATGACGTCCCCTGATGTGATTACTCAGCAGTGGCGTTTCTAGCTATACATAAAAAGCTAGTTTCTCCATACGGATAGTTTAACCGATTGCTGGAACCTGGATGGCGAGAAGGAACAACGGCACGTACAGCTAAGCAAGAGGGGAATCCCGACCCTCAGAAGACCGACCGGTATTGGATCAACGCTTCTCCTCCCACTCTTGTGATCGCTTTTCATCCAGAAGGATCCATTTCCCGCTGCTTATCTCAACTTCTCTTGTGGCATATCCCCTCTCGACCTTTTTTGTATACAATCAGGTCTCTTACTTTCCAATCTCAACAGCTTCAACACGTGGTCTACTTGCAGTCTGTAAAAGCCTATTCTGATAGCTCCTATCGGTCATAGCACCCGCCGCTATGTCTACTTCTGCCCGCCGTCGTCTCATGCGTGACTTCAAGGTACGTTATTATTGAAGATGATTAACTCTGACTCAGTCAGTCGTCAATCTGTTTCGTCGTTGCGCTTTTTTTTTCTTATTGTACCCTGTAGCTCAGCTAGCAGGCTGTGTCTCGTGAGCTAACTCTGATTCATAATCATAGCGCATGCAGACTGACCCTCCTGCCGGTGTCTCAGCATCTCCAGTAGCTGACAATGTCATGACCTGGTAAGCTCTCATTCTTCTCGATTCATCCGTACATCTGAAGAATGTGGTGATGGAGTGACTGACATATCCATCTCTAGGAATGCCGTCATCATTGGCCCCGCCGATACCCCGTTCGAAGATGGTACATTCCGCTTGGTCATGCATTTCGAGGAACAATACCCCAACAAGCCGCCGGGTGTCAAGTTTATCAGCCAGATGTTCCATCCTAATGTCTATGGTACGGGGGAGCTTTGCCTTGATATCTTGCAAAACCGCTGGAGCCCGACCTATGACGTGGCGGCCATCTTGACTAGTATTCAGAGGTACGTTGAATATTCTTCCACAACATACTTGGGACAGTGATTCTGATGCCATATCTGATGAAGTCTACTAAACGATCCCAACACGTCATCCCCGGCGAATGTGGAAGCATCGAACCTCTACAAAGACAACCGGAAGGAATATATCAAGCGCGTGCGTGAGACAGTCGAGAAGAGCTGGGAAGACTAATTTACTCTCAGAAGAGGAGGTCTTGAGTTCAGTTCTCTTAAGCCGATGGTTTTGGTTTCTTTTTATTTGGTTGGTCAACAGGAACAATGTCGTTTACCCGGGAGTCACAAGGGGACGTTAACGACTTGTGGTTTGGTTTGACGGGCTGTTGATCTGAATGTTCTGGCCAAGTTCGTATTTGGCTTCCACGTTATGTTGATGATATGCACAGCGCGGGGTTTTTGGCGCCTGGTGAATTATTTATTTTTGCTGGTTGTGTGGATAGCTGCATTGTTTATTTCTGCCTGCATAATGCATGAGCCTTTCTTGTCATTTAAGTCCTCAGATTCTGCTGCCTGCTCTTCCGTTTTAAAGTGAGCGTAGATATTCTTCTCTCCGTACAGGCTCTTGTAGCTATAGATAGATATAGTTCTAAGAAAAGCCTTGAGCAAGTGTGGTGATGATGCGGGACGAGTGTTTCTCTTAACGTTCTTAGGCCGGCGCCAAGCCACATCCTCAAACGGCTCGTGTCGAAGCATTCCTGCGACTCTAGATACATATTAATCCCCACGCTGCTCTTCTTTGCTCGATTCAGCAGTGAGTCCTAACCCACGTCACAAGTTCGCGGTGGTGTGTGCGTGCGGACTTGCTTTCCTCAACCCATCCTTCTGTCACTGTCTTGGGGTGAGGACATCGCGTGTTCCTGGCTGCCGTCTCGCACGTGGACCCCTGACCCAAACATCCCACCGACTCTACGCAGCTGGCCAACAGATCGAAATCCGGCTCTGAACAAAAGCCTAGAATATTGCTCGCCTCCCCTCGGGGCTATCCCTCACCTCTAGGTTCTCTTTCTGGTGATACTTGAGGGTTGAGTCGGAGCAAACATGGCGTGAGTATTCTATATCAACTGCCGCTTGAAACAGTGCGGAGAAGGCTGATGATAGCCTGGCATGACAGATCATCTGGGCCCGGCTCCAACACCATCAAGGGTTTGTATGCTCCGTCCGAATACATATGTTCGAAGATACTCACCGGTGCTGCGTAGTCGTTGCGAGATTCCGACCGCAAAACAAAGTCGAATTAGCGTCTGGAGGAGAACCGATTGTTGAGTTTGAAAATGAGCAGTCATGTAACATCAACGTGAGTCTCCTATCGAGGTTTAGGGAAGGCAAGGTCTGGTGGCGCTTGGAGATATTGACCAGCGATAGTCCAGGGAAGGCACAGGAGCCTTCACCTTCGATCGAGTTTTTCCCATGGACTCGAGACAAACGGACATTTTCGACTACTCGATCCGCCCTACAGTCGACGATATTCTGAACGGTTACAACGGTACGGTCTTTGCTTATGGTCAAACAGGTGCTGGAAAGTCTTATACAATGATGGGTTCCGATATCGACGACCCGGAAGGCAAGGGTATCATTCCGCGCATTGTTGAGCAGATCTTCGCAAGCATTCTCACCAGCCCGAGTAACATCGAATATACGGTTCGAGTCAGCTATATGGAAATCTACATGGAACGGATCCGCGATCTCCTGGTGCCACAGAATGATAACCTCCCCGTCCACGAAGAGAAGTCGCGAGGTGTCTACGTCAAAGGTCTGCTCGAGGTCTATGTCTCCAGTGTACAGGAGGTCTACGAGGTGATGCGACGCGGTGGTGCGGCAAGAGCGGTGGCCGCGACCAACATGAATCAAGAATCGTCTCGATCCCACTCCATCTTCGTCGTCACTGTCACCCAGAAGAATTTAGAGACGGGTTCCGCAAAGAGCGGCCAGCTTTTCCTGGTGGATCTCGCAGGTAGTGAAAAAGTCGGCAAGACTGGCGCCAGTGGCCAAACCCTTGAGGAGGCCAAGAAGATTAACAAGAGTTTGAGTGCTCTTGGTATGGTCATCAACGCGCTGACAGACGGCAAATCGACGCACATCCCTTACCGTGACTCAAAGCTCACTCGAATTCTGCAGGAGAGTTTGGGTGGTAACTCTAGGACGACCCTGATCATCAATTGCTCTCCGAGTAGCTATAACGATGCGGAAACGATCTCAACGCTGCGATTTGGTGTGCGCGCGAAGGCTATTAAGAACAAGGCGAAGGTCAATGCTGAGTTAAGTCCAGCTGAACTGAAGCAACTACTTCGCAAAGCGCAGACCCAGGTCACCAACTTCGAGACCTACATTTCAGCCTTGGAGAGCGAAGTTCAAGTGTGGAGAAGCGGCGAAACAGTTCCCAAGGACCGTTGGACACCTGCGAGGGGCTCAGAAGCCGTCAGCGCGGCCAAGGCTGAAGCTCGTGCAAGTGTTACGCGACCTGGAACTCCTTCTCGATTGCAAGACACTCCCCGATCAGAGACACCACGACCCGATTCAAGATTCGGCGACCGATCTAGCACCCCAAGCCTTGTGCTAGAGAAAGATGAACGGGAGGAATTCCTTCGGCGGGAGAATGAGCTCCAGGATCAAATCGCCGAGAGAGAATCCCACATTGCGAATGTGGAGAGGAGCTTGCGTGAAGCTCGCGAGGAACTCAAGAACCTCAAGGATAACTCAGCACGCTCTGGCAAGGACAATGAGAAACTCAGCGCTGAGGTCAACGAGCTTCGGATGCAGCTGGAGAAGGTTTCCTATGAGGGCAAGGAAGCCTCGATTACAATGGACAGCCTTCGGGAAGCTAATGCTGAGCTGACCGCGGAGCTGGACGACGTCAAGCAGCAACTTCTTGACGTGCGAATGAAGGCTAAGGAGACCAGTGCGGCACTCGATGAGAAGGAGAAGAAGAAGGCAGAGAAGATGGCGAAGATGATGGCTGGTTTCGACCTGGGAGGCGAGGTTTTCTCGGACAACGAACGGAAACTCCAGGACCTTATACAGCGGGTGGATGCATTGCACAATATCAGCGAGGCTGGCGAGCCAATTGCCCCTGACGACCTCCTGGAGTTACGGACCAGCCTGGTCGAGACTCAGGGATTCATTCGGCAGGCTGAGCTTACCATGAATGATCGGGGTGAATTGAGCGAGCTGCAGGACAGCCGCAGACTGGAGTTGGAGCAGAAGCTGGCTGATCTCGAGCGGGACTATGAAAGCCTTCTGGAGCGCAACCTGGGCGAAGGTAACGTCGAAGAGATCCGCGAGCGGTTGGAAAAGATCTACGTGACCCGGAAGGAGACCGAGATGCAGGCAGCGGCTGAACTGCGCAGCGAGATTGCACACAAGGACGAGGAACTCACCAAGCTGCGGCAGTCCCTTGCAGATTCCCAGTCTAAGGCGTCGACTAATGGCGCCACCGGCAAGAACCTGCAGCAGCAGATCGCCGAGTTTGATGCGATGAAGAAGTCCCTGATGCGCGACCTGCAGAACCGTTGCGAGCGGGTGGTGGAGCTTGAGATCTCGCTGGACGACGCTCGAGAACAATATAACAACGTGCTGCGCTCCTCTAACAACCGCGCCCAGCAGAAGAAGATGGCTTTCTTGGAACGCAACCTGGAGCAACTGACTCATGTACAGCGGCAGCTGGTGGAACAGAACAGCAGTCTGAAGAAGGAGGTCGCCATTGCGGAGAGAAAGCTGATTGCCAGAAACGAACGGATTGCGAGTCTTGAAGGACTCCTGCAGGAGAGCCAAGAAAAGCTTACTCAGGCGAATCATCGGTAAGTCCTCCCCTATTGAAGTCCTCGGCGGTAGGCAAGATACGGTTGGCTAATGCCATATCCCTACAGGTTTGAGGCTCAACTCACTGCTGTTAAAGAGAGACTGGAGGCTGCGAAGCAGGGTTCGACAAGGGGTCTTCCGTCTATGGATGGCAGCGGCGGTTTCAGTTTTGGCGGCTCGAGAATCGCGAAGCCGCTCCGGGGCGGTGGTAGTGGAGGGCCCGAGAGCAGTGCTCCGGTCGCAGGAGTCCAGTCGCAGGAGAGCGGAAAGCGCACGAGCTGGTTTTTCGATCGACGATGATCCACGATTTCTCTTTTGCTGTTTGTTCTACCCTTCCTCCGAACCTATCTGATTGTCTTTTCCTTTTTCGTTTTGTGCAAACAATCCAGCAGCCTTTGTTGAGAACCCGTTCTTATCATCTTCTTGGTGTCTAGATATCCTGCCGCTTGTTCTGCTCTCCTATCTCTGTGACTTGGCCGATAACGAAGCCTGTTCCACTGTGCTCATGATGTTGCCCTTTTTCTGTTCCGTCTCATTCTTGCATCGCTGGCTACACCTAGATTCCGAGCCTCCGGCGAGCCTATGCGACGAGAGGCCTCCGGTTCTCCTGATACCCTTGTATACCAGACCGATAGAAAGCACCTCGTGAGAGGGAAGGGACAGTTTGGAGATGAATACATAGTAAGTAGAAGAATTTCACCGGATGTCAATAGAAGAAGATACGGTCACAGTAGATGTCATTACTGCGCGAGGAGTCGCTTCTGCGTATCCAATCGCGACGTTTCTCAGACTTATAGTTTAGTATCTAAGCTGAAGTTTGCACCAATAGGGAACGCGGCAAATACCATGCCATGCATAAATATATATATAAACAGAAGGTGAATGAACAAAATGGGTATCAATAAAGAAAACTTGCCAAACCTACAAAATGAGTCAAAGCGATAGTGCCTATTCCACTAGAGTGACTCTCACGCCGTCCATGCCCATGGTCGTCACAAGCCGATCCATCATGTCCGACGTTGGCGGCTCACGGGTTTGTGGGGAGATCAAGGACCGTACGACCAGAGCCGGCTTCCCCGACTTGCCAGGCGATTTGGGCGGTGTAAGGGGCGATTCGTACTCTTCGATTTCCGGTTCCGAGACACGATTAGGCATTCCATCGGACAGGGTGCGGTTTTCCGCTTCGATAGCCGCGCGCTGTTTCTCATCCATAGCGAGAATTAAATTGTTCAGGATGACTAGCGCGGAGCGAATGCCCCGGACATAGAGGCCGGAGTAGCCTTCTAAGAAAACGTAGGGGAGCGGGCCGATGAACTCCTGCTGCTCGTTCTGCCTGGCTCGAACCATCGACACGGCGACGCCGAATTCGGTGTGGATGCCGCGCAGTGCGGCCCGCCTGGCCTGAACATCCCGCAGCAGGGCAGATTGCAACGAAGCTCTCCTTTTCGATGGCAGGGCGAGCAACTCCCGGACCCGTTTCACATACCCGGGTACCTTGGAGATCTCGATGAAACCGCGCTCCGCGACGTCGATGTAGGCGGACGAGTCGGGTAGTCGCGCATTGTCGGCGGCAATCTGCTTGTTCAGGTCCTGCCACTCTGGTTCCTGGAGAAGACATTCCTCGCCTGACAGCAGAGCAGCTGTCACCATCAGGTTCCGGTAGACGATGTACATGGCCCGTCCGAATCCGTGGAGGTGGGCCTGCGGACCGCGCAGTTGCATGATTGTCTTGATCCCGGCAGCATGACGCAGCCACGCATCGGGGTTAGTGCAGTTTTGTACCTCGAAGCAGGCTAAGGTAATTGCGGTGGCCAGCGCCTCGTCGGATGTGGCCTTCGAGACGTTCGATAGCATACCTGCTAGGCCACGGAGAGACCGTGTGTACATCAACCTTGCGGCGTCCGTGTACCGCGGGTCGTTGTGCAGAGCGCCAGTGTATGCGGTGGTGCAGGCGCGTAGGGCCCAATCGAAGGGTGTGTTCATCGATCCGCGCCGGCTGTGGACATAGTCGACCCAGGTTACCGGAGTGCGTTTCACGGTGCACCTGAAGTAGCAGGGGAACGCAGTGAGCACGTAGTTGGTGAAGACTTCGGTCTGCTGGGAGGATGCGGCCACGGCGATCAATGAGGGCGATGCAAGCTGGTCGATCGGAGGATAAGAGGTCGTTTGCGACGCACTGGAGATGCGGGAGACGGCCTTGGTGAGCCATTTGGGTTTGCTGCGAGGGTGCGGCGTCGAGGAGGACGAGGATGTCAACCGGTGCCGTCCCTGGGAGGCTGGCAGTTCATCGTGAAACTCCAGCGTGGTCGCATGACCGGTACAGAGGAGATTGAGGTCTTTGCAGCGCGAACACGGTGATTGACCGGTGCACTGGAGCGGGATTAGGACAAAATCAAGCCAGTGGCCTTAAAGGTAGCTTCCAGAAGAGTGAGGATCATCGAAAATTACATGAACCTGGACAACGCGACATGGGAGTAGCAGCGCGCGATCACACTGTGAACAGTAAGGGTAATGGGGGAAGACAAGATAGGGAAATTGTACAAGAATGCACAAGAACGCATTAAGGATTAAGCAATGATAATAATCAAAGTCATAAGGCAGTGGTTGGAATTGAGCCTAAGCTGACAATGACGGACTAACCTGGGCTCGAGCATCGATACAGTTATGACAGCAATGTGGCACCGCGGCCATGCTCGTCACCAGGACATCAAACGAATTTCCGCAGGCTTCGTATTCGGAACACTCGGCATTGAGGAGCTGCTCTGCGCGAATGCTTGATTATCAATCTTGGGGTCGTATGGGGGCGTGTCAGTGTGTCAGTGTGGTCCAAAATGTCCAACACTCTAAGGAAGAACAGGAAGAATCAGGCTAGAGCGCCGTTTAGGGGCGGTGGAGACGACCGTAATTGAGACACTAGTGGTCAACTCGGGAACCAAGCCATTTCGCCATACGAGGCTAATAAAATTGAGTTGATCAAGGCAAACAAACTCGCAAATGCATTGCTCAGGGCCACTGAGTCGAATTATTGTTGCAATCATAAAACTTAGGGATGAATTGGCTGTATACGGAGTACACTCGACTCTTATATCCGCTTCAAGAGCACATGGTTCACTAATTCTAGGCTCGCACGCTAAAGGCACAAACCACATCCACAGCAATAAATGTGTCAAAGCAGGAGAGACAAACGAAGACCCCCAGTGGCCTCTCCTAAAATCCTGTACATGAAACAAAGAACTCTCCCATGAAATCCGCCGTCGTTCCAAGGAAGATGCATGATCCAACCAGAGAAAGGAAGACGTAGAAAGCAACCCGAAAGAGACGAGAGGTAAAACCACCGTGATGTTGTCTTTTTGTTTTTTCTCATGTACAGCAGAGCAGAAGCAAGAAAGAAAGAAAAGTTACAAGAAAGATGAGGTCTTGTCTACCGAGCCCTTATAAAAGAGTACGTGGGCAGGCGCAAGTAAGAGATCACGGGCTGTGGGAATCCTAAAAAATATAAGCAATAAATACCAGCAGAAGACCAAGAAGATAAGAAGTAGATGGAGTGAACCATGGTCAATGAGGAGAGCCTCGAATTTGCGCCGCATTCGCCAAAGGTAAGAGGATGCACGACACTATGTGCGGGAGGACACGTCATCCGCGCATACTTATACCAATCCATCGTAGAGGGACAAGGCGCTGACAATTGTCTCGTCGCGTTTGCTGCCCTCCTTGAATTCCTCCATATCTAGGCTGCCGTTCTCGTCCTTATCCATCATGCGAAAGATCTTCTTGACCCGTTTCTCCGGTGTGTCTTCGTCCTCGGGCAACTTGACCATGGAGCCGACCTGTACTCGCCTCGTTAGATGGAGTCTATCCGCAAGAAAGCCAGTCACTGAGAGATCGCACCATTTTGTAAATCGCCTCAACAATAGCCAGCATCTCGTCGTAGGTAATCTTTCCATCACCATCGATGTCGTATAATTGGAATGCCCAGTCCAGCTTGTCCTCCATCTTACCCCGCGAGGTCACCGACAACGCACAGATAAACTCCTTGAAATCGATCATGCCGCTATTATCCGAGTCGAACACTCGGAATACATAGTTTGCAAACGAGGAAGGGTCGCCAAAGGGAAAGAACTGTCGGTAGATCTTCTGGAATTCCTCCTTTGTCAAGGTCCCTGAGGGGCAGTCCTTCAAGAAACCTGCCCCGCAATGCCACGGTCAGCGTACTTGAATCTCCTCCGGCTTGGGATCACCGCTGCTCACTCTTCACACACCTTTATACCATTGTTGCAACTCTTTTTTATCGAAATGTGTTGCCCTCTGGAGCTCTTCGAGTTGGGAGGGGGAGAGCTTCGACTGTCTATGCGGCCAGTTGTCGTTAGCTTATATCCCTAAGCCAGGCTATAGACGAAAATCAAGCAGAAATATTAATGTAGGTCCATCGAGCCGACAGACCCTGGATCCTAAAATTATATAGTCTTCAACTCCCCGTGGGGAAAACAAAGGCCGTAGCTGGCGGGTTGTAACCCCGTTTCACCACTCCCCTGATGCGCGGAACGACAAACAAATGCAGTACTCACGATTTACCCATGATCACCAGAATTTCCACACACGGTCAAGGATATACAAAGTAGCTCTTGGCCTTTACACAGACAAGCAAGGCTCAGCGCTCCGAAATCTTATGCGACGGCGGTGCAAGGACGGAATCCCGGAAGACGCGGGGTAAAACGAGGCTCGCTTTGATAAGATCGTGTGCTGCTTGGCCGAAAGAGGGTGAGAGCTAAGCAGTATAAACGACTGACAGAGAGACTGATAACGGATGACAATAAGAACGAAAACCTCGTGCAGTAGTAAACTTGAAAGTTGAATGGTTCGGGTTCCAGTCGGAGAAACAGACTGTCGTAGTTGTCGTAACTGGCCGTAAATCTTTCCGGTTCTGATGGAGTCAGTCAAGCCGTCAAGCGTGGGCAGTCCATCGGTCCAGAACAGGTTCATTGGCTTGGCACGCAGATGGCGGGATGGGAGGAAGCTCCACTATGAATGAATGCATCATGGATTATTCAAGCCGGATATTTTTATCTTCGGAAGATGTCTATTATTCTAGTTCTGATTCTTGAACTCGGGTATTGATGGTTTTCCTATCTACTGTAGCTCCTGATTGGATTGACGTTCTATTAATAACATCGCGATGCGTACAATGAATCCCCTCCAAGCTTAGAACCTTTGCGGCTTGAACAGTCTATAATATATATCTACATTTCGTTATCATACATCGCCTGTCATCTCGAGTCAATTCAATAATCACATCAACGCCACTTCGTCTTTCCTCCGCCATTACCTCGGTGAAATAAGTAGCTTGAAGCCGACCCAAAGATATGTACAAGTCCTGGTTGACGTCATCGGCTCAGAAGAGCATGGCGGTATTGGAATATCAGAAGTAAGCGCATTGATTAGACGGACTTTTTATGAAAAAACGGCCTTTGGAGTCCGGTCAGCACGTCTGGATCTTTCCATTGTACGTGTATTTAACTGTTCGGCAACAGGGTCGCTCGTTCGAAGACCGAGAACAAATGCAAGTCGGGATGATTGATCAATTGGAAGCGCGAATTACCTGCTATATTGCGACTTCAAATGGCATAACAACGTCCGAAGTTTAGTCAACCTTGATCGAGCCGTAGATGCGTTGCACAAACGCCCAGCTGGCGAAGAACCCTATGGAACCTGTGCAGAATGAATTAAAGACCACCCCACAGTCATCCAGGCTGGTTCATGGGCCAAAAAACATACCTGTTAAGATAAAGACCAGGAAACCAATCAAGGCAGAGTATCCCACATAGAGGACTGCCCCTGTGAGTCCACCGAAGCTCACTCGAGTGATCCAGAAAATAAAGGCATTGATGAAAACATAGAAGCCCGTCATTCCGGCCCCAGCGAAAGCCCTCCAATGCCACCGGTAGTTTTCAGCGCACAACAAAAAGTAAACCAACAGGACCGTGGTCGCCGCAGTGGTCATGATCATTAGTCCATAACAGAGGAAGAGGAATCCGAACATGTAGTAAATCTTGTTCGTCCACAAAGAAGTCATGATGAAGTACAGCTCCACAAAGATAGCGCCAAACGGCAAGATGCCCGTAAGTAGCAAAGAGGGAATTGTCCGAAGGCTTCCAGTCATTGGAGGAACTTGCCTCGGAATTTGGTTGGTCTTCGTTGGACCTTCGATTGCCTGAAAATGCGGTCAGCAGGTGCTCGTTGGAGGCCAAGGAAGGACATACTCGTTGTTTGAAACCAAGCCAGCTGCCTGCTACACTCAATGGCACACTGATGACGAACCAAATGAGGACCAGGGCAAGCATCGTTGTGAAAGGTACGGCTCCGCTAGAACCCTTGGCCCAGACAAACAGGTTCAGCAAGAAAAAGGTACCAAAGATAAGTCCAGGAATCAAGACTGGAGTCAGGATGATGTTGCGCTTCCAAGCCTCGCCGCCGAATGACTTGTAGATGCGGGCCGAGACATAGCCTCCAACGAAGCCAAAAAGAGTGTAAATGAGGAGGATGGCAGTGGCCAAGAAACCGCGGTTGGCTGGCGAAAGAAGACCGAAAAGCGCGAAGACTTTGACAGAGTCAGCATTCCGCACAAAGAGAGCATCAGCTAAACCTACCAACTGTCACACCAGTCATCATGAAAAGTTGAGCCCCGTTGCCGACAAGCACACTCAGGAGCAAAGGAGACCTGGGACATCGGAATACATCGCCATGAACCAGTTTCCAGCCAGAATCCTCTTGGATTCCGTCCTCAATGGCAGCTGACGTTCCATCCAAATCTTCGAGATTGATCATGTCCAGGCGGTTGTAACGAGCGATGTCTTTCTTGAGAGCCCTCAGAAGAATCATACTCACCATACCAACCAAGAAAACCACAAATACGGCAGAGTTGATGAGGGAAAACCAATGGATCTTCGGATCGTAAACGTGCAAGTACTTATCCCAGCGAGTAGCCCAAGGAGTGGGCGATTCGCGCCAGTACACGCCATACGTCCAAGTGACTGGAGTCTCGCCATCTTCGCTCAGAATCACACCGGCATCGTCGGAGCCACACTCCACTGTTCCATCTTGAAGAACTCTGGAATCACGCCGGGACGCCGGCTGAACGAGCACACCAACAACCCGATACTTGTCCTTGCTCCCGAATCCTACACGGTGATAGTCAATGACGATATCATAGTGATTGTTCAGCATTGACTGTCCATCATCATTCAGAGTGCCGAGCGCAAAACCGGGACTGTAGAACTTGGACTGGGTCACTGCGTCCAGGTTCAACTGAGCACCGGGAAGCCCATCCACCAACCAGTTGATATTGTAGCCCTGAGCTATCCGTCTGTTGACAAATTTGGCGCTTCGCGAATCGAATTTGACTTCTCCACAAACAGCCTTGCATGATTCATTCTTGCCCATGAACAACTCAAACGGCGATGTCTGGATACGATCACCGAAAAGAATGCTACCTAATGACTCGCGAACATCTTTCGGCCCGTCTGTCGGACGACAAAAGTGGAAGGCAGTATGATAGTAGTCGTAGGCGAAGACGGAATGCAGCTGCTCATCTTGTTGAGCTAGTCCCGGGGTAAGATGGTTGACGTAGAGCGGCACAGCTTGGCCTTCATCGTACGAAGTCGGTGCTACACCAGGAAGGTAAAAGGCGGCGGATAATGAAGGAGCTGTTAGGAGAAGAGTAGATATCGTTAATCGTCCGTCGAGCCGCATATTGGGCGTTTCCGGAGGAAAAAGGGGACAATCAGCTCAGGTGTGTCGGTCTAGAATAAACGGGCGAAGCCTAAAGCGGATAAAGATGGCTCATAAAGTACTCGGATTGAACCATAGATCGAACAACTTGCGCACCGTGAAGACGAGACCCTACTCAGAAGATCATGTATCGGAGAGTTGGCAATAGATGGGGCCAATAGACTGAAAAGATTACAATTCTTGGGGAAGCTGGAGAATAAGAAGCAGTGGTTACGGGCTTTGGTTACCTGGGGCTCACAGGGCCAGCTAATCCGCAGTCTTGGCACACGTGATAGCTGTCAGGTTCCCAAACAACTGGCTAATCATCACGTGCCGATAAGATTCTGGTGATCGAAAAATTTCCCTCAAGATCTTTTACCGCACTCCAGAGAAAGACGCAGGTTATATAACCATCCACTTCACAATGGCGGCAGTGGCGGCTCAAACTGAGCCTTCGGGCCTAGAGAATATTTCTACGTTGCTGGAAAACCTCACCAGCTGTTTGTCGAGCGCCGGGTCGTCCCTTCCGAAATCAAAACGAGAATCGCCAACCGACGTCTCCATCGAACCTCCCCACGATGGCATATCGCTTCTTGACACCAAAAGTGACCTATTACTATCTTACCTACAGAACCTTGTTTTCCTTGCCATTTTTCAGTTGAGAGAGGTAGCCTCTTCGGAGTCAAAGGCAGATGAGAACAACGATGTCGATAATGGAAGCTCGTCACTGCGCGAAGAAATCGTCAAAAAACTTACCGAGCTCCGCGTGTATTTGGACCGAGGCGTTCGGCCTCTGGAGGGTCGACTGAAGTACCAGGTTGACAAAGTCATCAAGGCTGCAGAGGACGCCGACAGAGCCGAGCGCGGTGCCCCGGCCACGACAAAGAGCAAGACAAAGAATGCGAAATCTGGTAGCAACAACGAATCCGGCTCAGAAGAGAGCTCCGGTGACAGTGAGAGCGATAGTGAAGGAGAAGACGAAGAGGAGGAGGACATTGATGAGATGGCTTACCGTCCGAATATTTCTGTCTTCGCGAAGGGAATAAAGTCGGGGGCTCAGACAGAAGAGAAGTCAGACAAGACAGTGTCAGGGGACGGAATCTATCGACCTCCGAGAATCATGCCAACTGCACTTCCCACAACCGAACGCAAAGAGCAGCGGGACCGCCGTCCACGCAGATCAAATGTCATTGACGAGTTTGTCAGCGCTGAAATGTCAGCCGCCCCCATGGCAGAGCCCAGCATCGGTAGTACGATTGTCCAAGGAGGAAGACATTCGAAGACCAGGAAGGAAAGAGAGCGCGAGGCCGAACGTGCTGCATATGAAGAAACAAACTTCGTGCGATTGGCCAAGGAGAGCAAGAAGGAGAAAGCCAAGCGACGCGGTCCGGGCAAGGAGAGCACGTTTGGTGGTGAAGAATGGAGAGGTCTTACCGAGGGTGCAGACCGGATCGCAAAGCTCACGCGTAGAGACAAAGGAAGCGGCAGCGCGCTGGAGAGGAGTCGGAAGCGAAAGCTTAATGACGATGGACCACGCAGTGATGGCGTGGCAGTGGGTCAGATCTTTGAGAAGCGTCGGAAGAAGGTTGAGAGCTGGAAACGGGCTTAGGTTAGATGTACATATTTCGGCATTATGGATATGGTTCTGGAGTTTTTGTTTATATGTGAGGCGACTGGCATACCGACGATACCATCAAAAGTTGATCGATTATATAATTTGCCGTCGGTGCGAATTCTAATCAAAGCATCTTTTATGACTACGTCAATCTCTTTTCCAGCTCTAAGCATTGGTCAAAGTCATTCAATGATCTC